AGTAAAACTGGCAACCCTGCAGCGGACGAAACGTTAGTGTCTGCGGACGAAAACTACTTGCCATCGGAAATAATCAGTTTTTCGTTGGGAAATTAGCACGTAAAATGGGATTTCTTGTAGAGATCGACGAAAAAAAAATACTCTAATCGATCGAACCATATGTTACGTGTTTATTCATAAATCTGTTGCTGTTAATATCTCAATGATGACGTATACCCGCATGGTACTGAGATATTGCGGCTTATCAGAAAAAATATCAACATGTTTGGATACCCCCTATTTCAGTATAATTATCTACATCTAGAATGCTCTAGAATTTTTATTAGACTATAATCCTCACCAACTGTCTGTCTGTCTACATATAAATTTATTAATGAAAAAATACGTGATATACACGGTTTCATAATATCGCTGCCCCAGAAGAATACTGACGCAAATGCAAACAAGTTAATTTCAAAGGAGAGGGAGAAAACGAATTCAAAATTTGGATTTTTCGATTTCCAAATGAGCGATTTCATTTATAACTTAAAACCTCTGGTATATTGGACCCTCATAACTTCGATGTAGTATGTTCGAAAAGAGAATATTTTGAAATTTGGTATCTCGAAGCCTTCTACGACCTCTATGTTTATGGGCACTTTTTTCATTTTTAAAGAAGCCCTATTACGTCTTGAAGTGTGTCCCATATGTTAATTATCAGGAGTGATATGTATTTCTTCATTTGCACACTTAATAAAATACGATTTCACATTCAGTTTATTATAAGTTGATTTGATACGATAGTGTACATGAACTTTTCTCTCCTGTCATTATTTATTTTTTATTTCATTGACACGATCGCCAGAATCAGCCTCGTGAATTTTTCAACACGGAATAGTTCAAAATCACTTCAGAATAAATACATGAATTAGTTTCGGGCAAGTCATAAATAAATAATCTCGAAATAACTTGTGAAAGTCGCGACAGCAAGCAATTTACAGTGCATAAATCATTGCCAACACTTTTTAAACGACGATTTTGTGGCTAAAAGCTTTCTTTTCCTCAATAAAAATCCAGAACTTTGGAGTATTGATCACTAAGTTTTGTATAAACTGTGCCCTTTACTAATGAGGAGTGAGAATATTATGTATCATATATATATTGGTACTAGTGAAACTTCTGACTTATTTTTAGCATGATAAATTTCGTCAGAAACAAAATTAATATGCAGAAAAAAATGGGAAATGATTTTTCAGCATTCACAGTACAATCAATCTCATATGACTAATATGTTGATGTCTGTATGCGAAAATAGCAATAGTCCAAGGCCCAAGTTTTGAACCCTGATGGGAGTCTGACAAATGAAAAATTCGCATTATCTATGTCATAATAATTTCAAACTATCAAGTTCATAAGATATATCGATCATCGGCATTAGTCTCTTATGAAGTTGCTTGATTTTGCATCAACATAGCCGTAGATATTTATATTTCAAACAATCACAGCTCTCGCTAAACACTAGACATATGGTTTTAGTTTATTGGAAATGATTATATTAGAAATAAACATCCATGGAATGTTACAGGTTATCTAATATTGATGTTATACCAGCAAATATTTCATTTAAATGATGCGAAACAAATACAATCGCTCTGAAGTTGACGTGTTGTAAACTAAAAATCACCAACACGAAGATCATACATTTTTGCGTGTTATTATTCTACAACCTACAATATCAATTAACAGTATTGGATGTCAGTCTAAAAAATCTAGTTTTTGTAAATACCCAGTTAGTATACGAGAGGTATGAGATTATACCTCTTCCCTTGCTACTACGAGTACTACGTAGTTTTTCATTTGAAACGAAATGGTTGAAGTTACAGGCGCTTAGCATTTTGTCAAAATTCTATCATCTGGATCGCATTGATGAGTATAATATATTCAATAGGTATCAGAGGAAAAATATTTGATTGGATGAAAAATTATCTGGAAAATAGAAAGCAGTATGTTGAAGTCAATAATATTTGTTGCTTCGTAAGGGAACTCAAATGTAGTGTACAAGGTTCCTTTAGATCCAATTTTATTCTCAATTTACATCAATTCAATATCAGCTTTGAAACTAAAAAGAGATCTGAAGTCATTTGCAGATGATACTACAATAATCTATTCCTCTAAAGAATATAACGATATAGTTGATGATATAAAAATGACTTGAAAATGATATCATCTTGGCTACAAATTCATAAGCTGACTCTTAACTATGACTAGTCTACGTATATGTATATTTCAAAAAGAAAAACTGATATGTCGAAAACAACAATATTTTTCAACCAGAAAGCCATAAAATATTTAGATGTTACAAAATTCTTAGGTCTTTTTATTGATAAACAATTATCGTGGACTAAACATATAGATCACCTGAGAAAAAAGCTAAATCCAATTACTGTCATTTTATACAGAATTCGAAATTTCATTCCTCTTAGATATTTGAAGAATATTTATTTCTGTCTGATTAATTCAAAATTACAATATCTAATATTAATCGTGCGCTCCAATCGATAAAAAAAAAAAAAGTGCATTTACATTACCTGGAACCAACTATTAATCTTTACAAACCAAAAAAATCTGTTGAATTTATCATCTTTTTATGAAATGAAAATTCGTCCTTTCATCCATTTTGTGAGAAAAAAATTAAAAAAACTTGAACTTTACTGAAGTCAATACAAGACCCCCCTTTCCATTTAATCCTTTTTTCCAAATGGCGCCGAGCCACCAAGTTTAAATTTTTTTCAGTTATATTCCATCTTTATCATTCAACGCGTCGGCTTGGACCTTCCATCATGAAAAAACTAATTTGTCGCTAGAATAGGTAAGAACCTATCACTGTCATCGCATATTACAGTGCTATCAATTAATTAGAAATATTGGAAGGAGGATGTGATGAACGTATCGTTAATCATCCACCAAGGATGCCAAAAACAATTTTCAATTAAGGTCAACCACTGACGAATTGAACGCATGCATCCATAATGAAAATATGAGCAGAGTCTCTAATCAAGAATCCATGCATTTACTAATAATTTTCATCGATTCTACACGGTGAGATGATTGGAGTCCCTTCCAATAGACTTTTTCCCTGAAACGCTTCCAAACCTAGGACAAATATTTTGTTGGATATTTCAATATTCTTGATATGTATAGCTCTGAAAGTTTCTGGATCCAATGAAGGATTGATTTGCACCAAAATCATTTTTTTATATTTTTTCATTGACTAATTTTGGAAATGATTTTTTTTTCAGTACACCACTGATCATATTCCAATACAACATCCAATTTTCTCATTCATTACTTCAGTTTTGACCTTATTGGGTATTTATAATTCCTTGCACTTTTTCAACTAGTAATTTGAAAAAATCAATTTTGATGCAATTTCGAATTTTTATTGATTCTTACAGCTTTTTATTACCTGTCCTTTGGAAGTTGTTGGCTTTATTTTCTACTTCTTCTTAGGTTCGCTATCTATAAAAGCGTGTTTATTCAATTTTCCAAACTACCATTCATTTCAAATACTTTTTAGTTCACTTGAATCTCCCAATTTTGACGAAAGAATTATAATATCCGACTCCTAAAACCCCAGATGAAAATTTTGAATAGAATCGGAACATATAATTACAAAATTCGTCCGCAGTATTGGATCTACCATCCTGAATTCCCTAATTTTGATGTAGGAATCAACCACCAGATACCAAATTTGAATAAAATCGGATCCTAATTACAAAATCCGCTATTTTGGATCCGCCATCTTGGATTTTTCAATTTTGACGGAAGAATCATAATCCCCGATCACGAAGACGCCTAGGAACCAATTTGGAAGAGAATCGGATTATAATTGCAAAACTCGTCCGCCATATTGGTTCCGCCATCTTGAACTCCCAAATTCTGCCCAAATTTTCAAATGCTGACGAAAGAATCATAATCTCCGACCCCTAAAACCCACAGATAATTCTGAAATATCAATTAATTATTATAAACCGAAAAATAATCGATATTGTCATCACATAGAGAATGCGAATTCTTGATTTATCTGAGAATATTTCTTTCGAATAGGTATTCTATTGAAACAAATGAGCTCTTGATGTATTCAGTAATTTAGCGCCATTGACAGGTAGACAAATTTTGGGTTAATGAACAGACAATATTACACCTTCCGCCTGACAATGCCCAAGAATATCGAGATATTTAAGAAGATATCTGAATAAATGTTTCTGTAGATAAAAAAAGTTAGGCCTCGCAGGGATTGAACCCGAGCCACCGCCGGTACACTGTCAACTGAGCTATCGCTTTGCTCGGGAGTATTCTCTATGAAGAAGGAAGAAATATCGTCGCGGTGGTTGTCTATGTATCAGTATCAACCGCCGCCCATCAGAACCCTTCTGTGGTATTGCGAAAGCTATACAAAAGACTAGTATCAAATCAGGCAGAGGAGTTTATTAAAAAACCATCGCCAACATTCACAGAATATCTACTGAGCCAAAAACGAAGTTCAACTAGAATACTAGTGGGACTTCTCACAGGGCATTGTAGGCTCAACAAACACACGAGTACGATAGGTCTAACTGAAGAATTGCTGTGCAGGTTCTGTCAGGAAGAAGAGTAAACAGCAGTACATATACTTTGCCACTGTGAGGGCTTGTCAAGACTAAGGTTCCTTGCACTGGGTGAGGAAAAACCAGAAGCCCAAAGATACACAGGGGATCTGAAAGCTAGCCTATGGAGTCTCATAGAGAAGGCGGGGCTAGCCGAAGAACTCTAATCGATTTTGAGGGCAGACACAATAGATCTGAAAAGGTAGCGGTGTGGAGGCAGATAGCCCGAAGGCCCCATTCTAAATCTAACCTAATCTAATCCAACCGCCGCGGCGGTCGTTTAGACAGTATCGTAGCTGCCACGGTCTCAGTTCAGATTTCGTCCATTGACATGCACCAAAATAATAGCAATAGGTATAAATTCTCATCACTCACCCAATGGATTGTAGCACTCAATCTGGAACAGCTTCCCGTTGATGGCCCCGAGCAATCCCAGAATGCCCTGCGGGAATTCAGTAATGAGAAACAGCAACAATACAGCCACCAGCATCCCGGAAGTCCTATCAGCCTGTCTATCCTTCTTCCTACAGAGAAAACAGGAAGGTATATGTCGGTCAGACAGGTCGTACGTTTAATCACCGCATTCATGAACATAAGATGGTTTTTTTCTAGAAGGTTCGCGTATTGGTAACACTTTTTTCAAGTGAGTTATAGTTTTCTTAGGCGATTCCATTATACACATAACGGCACAATTAGGGGAACGGGCAGAATTTACACTAAGTTTGACATCAGTTTTCTCTTGAACCCATCGCTCGATCTCAATTTGGTATTTCCAGAATTGTAGCTTGATTCTTTATGTATGCATGTCTAGAATAGACACCTTCAAATGATTCGTCTTTATATCATTTACAAAGGTCGAAGGAAATTTTCCGAACATCCTCTCTTTTTATTTATACTGATATCTCAATCGATCAAGAAAATGCAGAGTTTCAAAGAAAAGGTGGAGGTTGGTCTAAATTTTTCCACCTCGAAACTGAGTTTAACTTTTCAGTCTATTGTGTTAGGTTAGTGAGCATATGAACAATAATAAGAGCGATTATTTATTCCTCTCCATACCACACTGTGTTTGGCTTGATTAACAAATGAAGGTTAACAATAGCGTTGTTTGAGACAAAAAACTATATTGCTTGCCGTGATTATTCAAAAACAAGTTATCCATCCCGAGAATAACGAATGAAATACAGATCAAGCAAGTATGTGAATCTTGAAGGCTTCCCTGATCAAAACAATAATACTTAACTGAGATGTTTATAATTCCTATACTTAACTATAATAAGGTGTATTTATATCTCCAGCATGGGTATGAAATGTCAAATGTGCCGAAATCGGAAACAAATCAGGTATGCGTCCAAACCCAAATAACCAATCATAACAATGCTGTTTATTCTTGATGACGTCTAGTACATCCTTTTTAGTTCCTAGGAGCTATAGTTCAAGTTTAGCTCCTAGGAACTGGAGTTCAACTTTAGCTCCTAGGAACTGAATATGTTGCCTAGCAACAAACCTATTTTTGTGTTAGTAATAGAAACGTCAATTCAAGAGCTAATTTTAGACTTTTATGTCGGTTGCAGAAAAATAACTATTATTTTTTCAAATTTTGAAATAAAAAAGAATAAGTTTGCAATGACATTCTTTACCGTGTAGCAGTCACCATCGGCTTCGCTTCCCCCACCACTTTCATAGGCACATCCCGATGCAGCAGCTTGTTTTTCCTCTTCTTGGTCTCCAGCAGCTTCAGGATGAGCTTGCAGGACAAATGCGTCAGCAGTATGCAAGGCACTAATTTAATGACCACCCCGTACAGCCAGAAGCTGATGTTGGCGTAGTCCTGGGTGGAGTATTGGGTGACGTACAGAGTGGCCTCGTTGTAGGTCTCGTTGGGTTGGAGAAGGTCTGTTTTGTTGTTGAAGATTCTACCGGTTGAATCGCAAGTTTGGTTGAAAGCTTCCAGCTTGAGGGATATGAGGAGGGGAAGGCATACTAAGGGGCAGGCTAGGTAGGTGAAGATTATCACGTAGACCGTTTTTGTGACGTCGCACCAGTACCTAATAATAAATACAATTATAATTTCACAGGTTGATAACACGACGTTTATCTTGAAACTCTCAACGCTTTTGTTGAAAGAGCTTCAAATTTATGTATTACGTAAAAAGCAATCACACGTGATATGAGGAAATTATGTTTTCGAATTAAACATATTATCCTATAGGTGAATACTGAATAATATTTATTCATTTCAAAGATCATGGAGAAAGCTATCAACATCGAGCTCATGAAATACCTGGAACATTCAGGTATTATCAACGATAGGCAATATGGCTTCCGTCATCAGAGATCAACTGGTGACCTGCTCGCTTAAGTCTCACATATATGGCAGCAATCTATCGAAAAAAATATGGTGAAACCTTAGCCGTGGCACTTGATATCTCCAAGGCATTCGATCGAGTCTGGCACCACGGACTCCTCGCCAAGCTTCCATCTTATGGCTTGCCTCCCCAGCTATGTTCTCTGCTAGCTAGTTTTCAAACTGGTCTCTTCATGTAGTGGTCGACGGAGTTTCATCTGACTCTCTTATCATGAATGCTGGTGTTCCTCGAGGATCAATTCTAGCACCAACACTATTTCTACTCCATATCAACGATTTGTTGGAAGCAACTTCATGTCCAGTACACAGCTTCGCGGATGATAGTACCCTCCATACCGCCTTCTCTTCCAGGGCTCCAATACCAGCCAGGCAAAACAAATACGAACGAGGAATAAATGTCGACAACATAAATATGGACTTGGCAACAATTCTCGAATGGGGATCCAATAACTTGATAGATTTCAATGAAAACTAAACACAAGCATGCCTTTTCTCTAGGAAAGCCGATATCACTGTGCCCAACATAAGCTTGTCAGGAGTAACCATACCTTTGAAAACATCCATTTCGATGCTTGGTATTACTATCAGCAATAACCTTATTTCTTGGAAAAATCACGTGGAGTCAATTGCTAAAAGTGCATCTCCAAAACTTGGTTTTCTGTTTCGGGCCAGGAGCTATTTCACTTCCAGTCAGCTGCTTATGATCGATGAGGCACAGATCCGACTTGTTCTGGAATACTGTTTCCATATTTGGAGTGCAGCACCCAAACATACCCTGAAACTGTTAGATTCTGTCTGAAAAAGGAGAATTTGTCTCGTGGGTGATGCCTCGCTCACAAACTCACTCACTTCTCTGGAACACCGTAGAAAAGTTGGCGATCTAGCTCTATTTTATAGATATTTTCATGGACGATGCTCTCCTGCAATATCAACAATTGTTTCCCTCTTGGCAGTCCCCACGAGATTAACCCGTCGAGTTGAGGCTTCGCACCCCTTCGTGGTCACTTTGGAGACCTGTAGAATATCTCTTTAGAAAGACTCGTTCATCCAACGAACAGCGAGGCTCTGACACACATTGCCAAGGGAGGTGTTTCCCGAGGCAAATAACCTCCATAAATTCAAGGAGAACACCAATTCCTACCCTATTTCCCTTGGTTCTCACTATGATCTCTGAACATTACAGGATATTCCAAAATATAAAAAAAAAACAGAAAGTCATCTTCACCACAATTGTGAAAGTGTGAAAACTCACGGGTTCATTGTGAATAATCACATCAAGGGAACATGTGCAAATGTCAGCACAGGAGAGTGCAATTTTTCAATCATTTTGCTCAGGATAGTGATCCGAACAGGTGCCGTTCTATGAGATACAATGTTTTTACATGCCTTTGTTTTCAGATGATGGTCGAAATTTGAATCAGCCCGCTCTTGGACTACAATAATGACCTTCTATAGTTAGACGTAAGCAATTTCATCAATCGCTAAATTTCTCTGATGGAACAAAACGTATTTTCAAATATCTCTGAATAGTAGATATTGCTTTGCATATTTCGCAGTGAATCAATATATGGAAGTTGAATTGACAGTATAGGAATTGGAGTGCTATGAGTTTTTAAATTACATTATATTATTGTTGAAAAATACATTTAGTAGATATAACTCCAATAAAAATCGATTATGGTGATACATATGAACGTTCATTTACGGAAATTGAGCATAAAAACGTCAATTCAACGACCATCAATAAAATTTTAGTGTTTTTTTTATGTCTCGACTGATTAGTACCGCTGAAGGTTGATTATTAATTTTTATGCAACATTTCTCGACATCCTATATAGACTCATGGATACACTATTGATTCAATATTCCCAAAGATTCCAATAAACTTCGGTTCTCCTACAAATTTCTATTACTTATACTCTTATTCCTGGAAAAAATACTATGATGTTCATCACCATGAAAAAAGGCCAGCAAACTAAATTTCCATATAAATGCTTCCGTTATAATACGTCAGCGATACTGACGTCACAAAATACTATAAGGTGCCGACCATCGTCGTTTATATCGTTAGTCGAACAGCGTTGCCGTCTCAACCGATTCTTCCGAGGATTCTTCAGTTTGTTTGGATACCTACTTTGAAATTCTTCTGAACAAGACAGTTTGAAAATCACTAGCTCAAAATGACTTACAAAACGTTTGTCACATATATTATGACATAGATATTAGAGTGATACCTATAAGAATTTGGGGTTCATAAAAATTGCAAATACACTTACAAGCAAAAAGTTCAATTAGAAGAATTGACTAAATTTAAAGAATTTTTGTAATTTGAAAAAATTGAACTTGACAATCGAGATTTTACATTTTCAGTTAGTTTTGTTCAATTAGAGTTAATCGAGATGTGATTTTTGGTGATAAAATATCGGCAAATATTGATATATCACTAATTATCAGAAGATAGAGCATATATCACTATTGTTAGTTGTTCCTATTTGCAGGAATAATTTATTGAACAAACCAATCAATTTCCTACGCTTGTAGAAAAAATATTGTTCCTAAATCATGAAGAAATTCTCTTTCCGCACTTGTTAGCAAAATTACTATTTCGAGAGATGAATCAATATTCACTACGATTGATAGTTCAAGAATTATAGCATATCAAAATGAATTGACTACATTCAAAATTGTCGTTTTTTGAACAGCTTCCAGAATTACAATATCCAATTCACAGTAATTATTTTACCATGCAAAGGGTTCTCATAGTATCTAGATTGACTGTATTTTTTCAAAATTCCCAATAGCCAATAACAAACCAATATTTCAATTCAAGTAAAATGATGATTCAGATAATTATTACAGACTAGTTCTAAAAGTTTAGACGGCTATACCTAGCTATACCTATTGTGTGTGTTTTTGGTAGTACATTTCATTGCCTCCAAATCGATATGATACACTTTTACTGAGGATATTAGCAGCGTTTTTGTCTAAAGATAGTCTGGACACACTTTAATGACGTTAGAAATTATTTACCTACTCGAGTAGAAAAGTAATTACGCAAAAACCCTGACTGCGTATTAATTATTTTCAGCTGAGGAGTATATATTTTAGAAATAATGTCAAATTAATGAAGATGAATTGATTTGAAAATATTTTCGAAACATGAAAATTGAAAATCGATTAAAAAGAACAAAAAATATGTAGTTTCTCATAAACACAATACTAAACGAAACTAATTCTGAAAATACTCAACATAATAAAATAGAAAAAATAGCCAGATATCACGAAATGAAATGTACTCATAACAAAATATCACAAACTAAAAAATTAGCTCACAGTTTCGTATTCATCCGGAAAGTCTAATGATTCTTCTTTTCTTATTCTTTGACTAAATCCCGCTATATTTCATTTGTGATACCTAATTATTCAACACAATATTAAATATAGTTTTAGAAACATCAAAAGACCCACAACTGGAACATGAGTAATAAAACGTGCATTGGTATAATACTAGACAAATTTTTACGCGCTTTTTCTTATTTATTTCGGACTCATTGTAAGTAGCTCAACAATTTTCTCACCATTTGATTGATGCATTATCCTAGTTTGACATCCTCAGTCAGTTTCATTTTATGCCGATTCCAAATTGGCAAAAAATAGTGTTCCGTAATACAACCCCCTGATTTCCATTGAAATCGAATTTCTTTAAAACATCATAAATCGGTACTGGTTCATCCTCTTGAATTTATTTTTTTACCCAAAGTTGGGTAGTTCATCAGGGATCAATTCGTCTCGATTGAGTGTGCTTCAAATTTTTAAAGTAACTTTTAAAGTAAAGTAAACCTTTCAATTACCTACGCACCGATATGAAATGATGTGAAATCTCAACCTACTAGTGTGACGTCACCATCGAAATAGAGGGGATATACTACAGCCCGCTGAGATAGAGTAAGTATGCCCTGCTCTAAAGGAAGCATTTTCGGACACATGTTGATAGTTGATAGGAACATTTTTTCTTATCTTCATGTGCAGAATCACCGGAATATACGAACGTTATTCTGGGACACCCTGTATATGCACATTCAAATTGAATTCACGCATTGGTGTTCTTGTCTATTGAGTGGCGTCTCAAATGAGGCTATACCTACTGACCTGCTATTATGCGGGCTGGTGATGGCCAAATACCTCCAAACGGCCAAAATGACAGTCAAACAGACGGCAATGAAGTGAAACAGTTGACTGAAGAAGGCATGAAACATGGTGAAGGCCGCCATGCTATAAGAATAGTGGGCGATGGTCTTCCTGCTGTCCAGATCGAAGTACCGCAAGTACGAAAACGGTATGTACTCCAACATAACCAACAAATCGGCTACTGCTAGTCCTGTAAGGATCAGATTGGTAGGCCATCTCATTTCTTTGGTTGCGAGGACACAGATGTTGAGGATATTGGCTATGGAACCGAAGACACACACTGACAGACTTAAGGGACCGTGGATTTCTTCGTAGCCTTTTTGGAAGGCTCCCAAGGTGCAGAATTTCGTTGTATTGTTCATGTCGAACAATTAACTCAAGGTCTCATTTTGTTGTACAGTTCTTGAATAACTATTTCAACCACCACCAAATAACATACTAGATAGTGTTAATTAATGCAACAAAAACGAATGCTCTGCTAGTTTTTCTATCATTTGAATAAAGAATGCTAGCTAGTAAACAATTGTGATGACACATGTTCAAGTATTAAAAATGTTTTTTGTTGGAAAGACTAGTGTAACTATTCGATATTCGAAACACTTGTTTAACATGATTTTAGATCACTTTATTCTCAAATCATGCATGGAAGGGAAAGTGCATTTTGATGTTTTCGATTACGCGTTGGGAAGAGCGAGAATTCTTCGGAGGAAAATTCACGATCGTGTTGAACGGTGGAAAGCCGCGGAGCGTGTGAAAAGCAAAAAGTGAAAATTCGCGGTTGGGAAACGTCGCGACGGTTGCTGGAGACGTGAGTTTGCGCGTTAACAAAAAACTTGTTGACGGTAACGCTAACGTATATTGTTCGATGTATACCGAGTGACCCGTAAGCGTACGGTCAAAACTCATCAAAGAATGAATAATATTCAAATTTGTTCATCAATGGGCGAGAGGACTGATAATGAATTATTGGCATTCAATTATTCCACGTGTCGTTAGGAACCTAAATTAATTTTTGCAACTCTTCTCACGCTTTTTTTATGTAAATAATTTGTCTATGTGTTGTTCGAAATAGTTGAATTTCAGAGCTCATTGCAAACGAACCTTCATGGCCGCCAGGAACAATTCTAGCACCCACACTATTTCTACTCCATATCAACGATTTGTTGGAAGCAACTTCATGTCCAGTACACAGCTTCGCGGATGATAGTACCCTCCATTCCGCCTTCTCTTGCAGGGCCCCAATACCAACCAGGCAAATCAGAAACGAACGAGGGAGAAATATTGACAACATGAATATGGACTTGTCAATAATTCTCGAATGGGGATCCAATAACTTGGTAGATTTCAATGCAAACAAAACACAAGCATGGCTATTCTCTAGAGAAGCCGATCTCACTGTGTTCAACATAAGCTTGTCAGGAGTAACCATACCTCTTTGAAGACATCCATTCCGATGCTTGGTATTACTATCACCAATCACCTTTCTTGGGAAAATCACGTGAGATCAATTGCTAAAAGTGCATCCCAAAAACTTGGTGGTCTGTTTCGGGCCAGGAACTATATTTCACTTCCAGTCATCTGCTTATGACCTATTATGCACAGATCCGACCTGTCCTGGAATGCTGTTCCCATATTTGGAGTGCAGCACCCAAACATACCCTGAAACTGTTGGATTCTGTCCAAAAAAGGGCAATTCGTCTCGTGGGTGATGCCTCGCTCACAAACACGCACTCACTTCTCTAGAACACTGTAGAAAAGTTGTCGATCTGGCTCTATTTTATAGATATTTTCATGGACGATGCTCTTCTGAAATATCAAAGATTGTTCCGCCCTTGGCAGTCCCCGAGAGATTAACCCGTCGAGTTGAGGCTTCGCACCCCTTCGTGGTAACTTTGGAGACCTGCAGAACATCTCTTCCCAAACACTCGTTCATTCAACGAACAGCGAGGCTCTGGAACACATTGCCAAGGGAGGTGTTCCCCAAGGCATATAACCTCCACAAATTTGATCAGAACACCAATTCCTACCTTATTAACCTCGGTTCTCACGATGTTCTCTGAACATTACAGGATATCCCTTTTCGTGAGAGCCAGAACATAAAAAAAAGGTATTAGTCGTGCGATCTTTACCATCTTCACCAAATTGGGACCGGTATAAATAACCATCAATATGATCAGTTTTTCAGAGACGAATATCATTTAAGACAGTGCCGTGCGTTTTTAGTGAAATGAAAAGGGGGCATCTTTTTATGTAAGCATATATTAGGCATATGTTTACAGGAAAAATGGCCTCATTATATTGTTCCTTATTTTTTCGAACCCCATATATACTTTTGCATATGCTTCCTATTGTATAGAGAGTTTAAAAAAAGCAGACACATCAGAATAGCAACTTTTGCGAATGTGATATTACTATTTTTACTCGGTTGATCAAAAAATAGTATATCTTGTTTCTTTTTTCTTCCAAATTATGACTTACCTACCAGAGCTATTGATGAACGTTCTGAAATTTGCAGTCAATTTGAATTCTCCATTGTTTCGAGGCTGGAGATAAATAAAACTAAACCAATCCTGCTAATTCGTAATTTTTTGCAAATGAAGGTTCGAAAGTACGAGGAACAATAATATGGAGTTGGTTTTCTTGCAAAAAATTCTTATAGTATGAATTCATAAAGCATGGACCACTTTTTATTTCAATAAAAGAGCTTGGCACTGTTAAAATGGCTGTTCTTCTCTGAAAAACTGAACATATTGATGGATAGATATAATATGAAAAAGTTGTTGTTTTCTGTTACGTATATTTAAATGATGATTATCTCATTTCTGAATACATGGTTCAAAGAAATCGTTTTATTCAATTTGGGTTTACATAAACAAAGCAAATGCTTGAAATGAATAAGTTTCCTAAAGAAATTATTTTTTGTGTGCAAGCAGCCTTTCACTGTTGAAATTGTATTGTTCTGAGGAATATATGAATATATGTCTGGTTTTTGTAATGTATATGAGTTTTTCAAATGTTGATCAAACTCATCAGTTTACATTTCATGAATTAGTCTCAAACAGAAACAACAAAGGTAATTCAGAATTGAATTAGACTTCATTCTTTCCTAGATATATGAACATAACTATTTTATATCAGTAGACTTATCCAAAATTAATCCAGAAAACAATTCATTGATTTGTAAATGAATCATCAAGTCGGCATTTGTGGTGAACGAATTATAATCAGAGGAAAAACATCTTTTGAAATGTTTGTAATATATACTCTGACTTGCCTATTGTTAATATCAACAATCCGTCTAAAAATACAACACAATCTATGGAGGATAAAAAATAGCAATCACGCTTCGCTCGTTCCAATAAAAATCATGACAAAGTAATAATTTGTCATGATTTTAATGGAAACAAGTTTTGGGACACATTGGCACCTTATAGATACCGAGTGGCTCATCGAAGATGTCAAAGCATGTTACGGGCATCAACTTTCAATTTTTAAAAGGAACACCCTGATGTATTTCATTGCATCTTCAGCTTCTTCCTGAAGAGCTGAATTCATGAATTTATCACAATTGAAGTCTAGCGGGAATGATTACAGAGATATCTTAGCAAACATTGAACTACAGGGAGAAGTCCGGCCTATTGCAGGCAAGTCTGGGAAAGTGACGATGCCGGGGTATTGGTAATGGGCCTATGATTTTCCTATGCTCAGCAACCATCAGTTAACAATACGATGATGGCCTTGTCTGAAACTCATTGAACTCTAACGGGTTGTGGCCCTTGGCTGACCAATATCCTGTTCACTACTCGTCCCCCTGGTGGATGTTCTAGGAACGTCTACATCAACAAGTGGCTGATTATTTGGATCATTAATAAACGTGATTTCTGTGATCGCGTATGTTTTTGTTTCGTTTTTCTCTAGTTCGTTGTCGAATTCTTATGCTCCTCACTTTCCCTGGTGGTTATTAATGATTGCAGGAGTTTCCTCAATCAATCAATTAATAATATAGAAGATAGACTCTTCAATTATGATAATATTGGGTAAGTATCAAGGTTCAGGTCTAGTGTTTCGAATTTTAATATACCTAATGATCATAATGATTAGAGTGGCTCTACCTCTCCAGAAGCATATAACTACCATGTTTAACTCGTTCGTTGCTATCAAAAGCAATCTGAGGTTATGTAACTCTGTCTCTGTTATAGAACTGAATAACAATAAGGTTTCAACTACAGATATACCTGATGTACCAGAACAATAATAAAAATTGAAAAGCTCCATATGTTACTAGACTATATTGGTCAAGTAAATAAACTCATGCAACAGTATTTCGTTTTTTTATACTCCCATGGAACAAAAAGTCCATAAGGTGGACACACTGTATAAGATGTAGATGTAGATACCACGTACCAGCCAGTAAGCTTCATCATGGAAGAAGAGAGAGGCAAAGAAGATCATTGTGTCATTCATAAAATTGTAATTGCAATATGGGGAGAGGGTTATTATATATAATATATATTAATATAAAGTTACTAGAACTTCCAGATTCATTGGACCCCAAAAATCCCTACCCTGATAATATATAACCAATGTCGATGATTGGCCATCACAATCCCATCATTTATATAATATGCTGGGTTTGCTATGGGAAAGTCGATGTGTCGAGTATGTTGTACTGGCCTTTTACCGGGGAAATGAATAGGTATGATTGCTGGGCACCCAGCACTGGGATCAGCTGCCGGCCGCGGTGTACTGATATACAGAGTCCCACATATGGCACCATAGATTTTCCAACTTTAGGATTTTTTTGTGTCGAAACTATTCATTATTGGTCAAAACGGCTTCCATGTCCCTATCTCAACTTTTGATTTACTATCAACTGACATTTATTTGCAGCAAATGCAGGGTGATCAGAATTCTAAGTCTTGAATCTTTTTGATTTGGGATTTTTTTAAGTTGATAGGTATTTATTATGATGTAGAATAGTTATAGGCAACACAACAAAAATCATAAAACATCAGTAGAGGCAGCATTAGAATATGAATTCTAACAACAGGTGCATGTTTCTTGAAACCTTTCATTTTGGTATCATTCAAACGTTCTTAAGAACGTTTTGCAACTAAAAAATATTCGGGAAACCTGTACGAAACGTCTGGGTTAGTATGTTTCAAGTAAAGTTTCGAACAGTCCACAATAGGGTAGAATTGAAATGCCTCTGGACGGTTTCATGTTTAGTGGGTCTTTAACTGCAACACAATGGAGACAACTTGGATGGATCCTTTTCGATGGGCCACCCGGTATATTATCGCCGCATAAGTTTCATTATAGTTGCATTGTAATATTCGTCGGTAAAAAACAAAGCCTGCTATCGCTTTTAGATGCAAACAAGTCAGCAGGCCGAACATTCTGATTAAAAATTACGAATAATCTAATAATAATATATAATAATCTAATACACAAAATGTGTCGCTACGACAGAGTAGGCAAATATAGGAGATACAAAAACAGAAGTAATACATTTCCTGTTGTTGAGACACTGATGACGGAAACAAAGGAAATTACCATAATTTTGTTTTCGTCACTTTCATTGTTTTTTGTATTTTTGTTTTGTAGATTTCAATGCAAACAAAACACAAGCATGCCTTTCCTCTAGAAAAGCCGATCTCACTGTGCCCAACATGAGCTTGTCAGGAGTAACCATACCTTTGAAGACATCCATTTCGATACTTGGGATCACTATCAGCAATAACCTTTCTTAGGAAAATCACGTGAGATCAATTGCTAGAAGTGCATCCCGAAAACTTGATTTTATGTTTCGGGGCAGGAGCTATTTCACTTCCAGTCAGTTGCTTATGATCTATAAGGCACAGATCTGACCTGTCCTGGAATACTGTCCCCATATTTGGAGTGCAGCACCCAAACATACCCTGGAACTGTTGGATTCTGTCCAAAAAAATGGCAATATTTTCATGGACTATACTCTTCTGAAATATCAACAATTATTCCTCCCTTGGCAGTCCCCGCGAGATTAACCCGTCGAGTTGAGGCTTCGCACCCCTTCGTGGTCACTTTGGAGACATGCAGAACATCTCTTTGCAAAGACTCGTTCATCCCACTAACAGCGAGGTCCTGGAACACATTGCCAAGGGAGGTGTTCCCCGAGGCATATAACCTCCAGAAATTCAAGTGGAACACCAATTCCTACCCTATTTCCCTGGATTCTCACGATGTTCTCTGAACAATACAGGATATCCCTTTTCCCCTAACAAGTTGGGATGAATAATAAATATGTGAATAAAGAACAAATATATTTCTTCTCAAGTAATACCAGATAGCAGGTACTCAAATGAAATATTTTCTGTGTGTAACTATCTAACCTATATTGCTACTTGTGTATAATTTTATAATTAAATTAATTCTCATCCTTCGACTAACTTTAATTGCTGCAAAGTATCCAATATTTATTTGACTTGAATTTCATATAGCTTGTGTTAGATGGATATCAACTACGCAGCTGAGAAGACACTTTAATTAATAAACTTTGTGAAAATAAGATCAGTATCTCAGAAAGTAGTGCCTCTTATTAAGTTTCAAGCCATGAAATAAACAGCAAATGGAATTCTCGAGATAATGTAGGTTTATTATACATTTTCAATTACACCCACTGGCACCCAGGAAACTCACTTGCACACATAAACAAATAGCTGAAATGATATTCCAAGGATATAACTGTGATTATCTTCTCAAAGTTGTCCTAAATTGAGTACCTATACAGAGGGTATGATTTCAATGCAAACAAAACACAAGCATGCCTTTTCTCTAGGAAAGCCGATCTCATACTGTGTCCAACCTAAGCCTGTCAGGAGTAACCATACCTCAAAGACATCCATTTCGATGCTTGGTATCACTATAAGCGATAACCTTTCTTGGGAAAATCACGTGAGATCAATTGCTAAAAGTGCATCCCAAAAACTTGGTATTCTGTTTCGGGCAAGGAGCTATTTCACTTCCAGCCAGCTGCTTATGATCTATAAGGCACAAATCTGACCTGTCCTAGAATACTGTTCCTATATTTAGAGTGCAACACCCACACATACCCTGAAACTGTTGGATTCTGTCCAAAAATGGGTAATTCGTCTCGTGGGTGATGCCTCACTCACAAACCTACTCACTTCTCTGGAACACCGTAGACAAGTTGGTGATCTGGCTCTATTTCATAGATATTTTCATGGACGATGCTCTTCTGAAATATCAACGATTGTTCCTCCCTTGGCAGTCCCCGCGAGATTAACCCGTCGAGTTGAGGCTTCGCACCTCTTCGTGGTCACTTTGGAGACCTGCAGAACATCTCTTTCCAAAGACTCGTCCATTCAACGAACAGCGAGGCTCTGGAACACATTGCCAAAGGAGGTGTTCCCCGAGGCATATAACCTCCAGAAATTTAAGAAAAACACCAATTCCTACCTTATTTCCATTGGTTCTCACGATGTTCTCTGAACATTACAGAAAATCCTTGTTCGTGGGAACCAGAGCATATAATAAACATCTGTCCTAGCTTGCTTCATTGTCGAGATACAGGGTATTGATATTTCCATGAAAATTATTTTTTCTATTCATTTCTCAATTGTCTTTTCATCAATTTCAATGAAACGTTGTGGTTCTGTTAATAGTAATATGGAGCTCCTTCTAGTGCAGTTAGATTAAAAATAATATCTCCAGTGGCGTCACAGTGGGTAAATTCATCGAATGTCATTGTACACCACCGGTTTTTCTGAGTTTCATATTTTTATTAGATTGAACTATTGAAATAACACTTTTCATCGTCTGTGTGATTTTTTTTATATTGCTTAGTTTTTGAGGAAACAATAAAAATTCGATTTGACTCCAAATTTTAATGTTGGTGTTTTCAAGACTTCCATTGAGATTGCTCAATAACCCCAATTAGAATCATTTTGAAATTCAATATATAGCAGAGGTCCAGAGGTGATCGCTACAGTACTTCCCCTCTAAAAAAAAATCATTCAGGAGAGAAACGAACTGTTAATTTGACATTTCTTCCAGATCTTGCTGTATGGCTTGTACTGGAGGGTTTGGATGAATCTTGACTAGATGATGGGGTCCACTTATCGGTCCCGGTGTGATACAGGATGGCACGACTGGAACGGATTGTGAAATCTTTGGTTCAGAGAGAATATATGCTGGTTTCACCCTGTCCATTGAGACTGTTGTATTCTCTCCACGAATACAAATAATATCATTTGTTTTTCTCTTCTTTCGATGACACGAAATGGTCCATCGTAAGGAGACTGCAACGATGCACGAGAAGTATACAGACGAACAAAAATATGTGTAGTTGTAGATAAATCCTTGTAAACGAACACAGGATGATTACCATGACGTGAACCACAGGTAGGTCGGATAGAAGACATATGTTTTCGTAGTCTGTCAACATAGTTCGTTGGATTCTGTTCTGCTGGGCTTGGTGTTAAAAATTCTCCAGGGAGTCGAATGGGTTCTCCATACACCATTTCTGCAATTGAAGCACCTAGATCTTCTTTGAAAACACATCGTTATTTTGGGAATTTGCAAGAGCCGCAAAATCCAGAGGTTGTTCAACAGCTTCTGCACGGGATAAAGTATCTGCCACAATGTCTATATGAACTTTATTTGCTAGAATGTCACAAGGAAACACCTCTTGAATTTTTCGGTGCTATTTAGATACACCCTGTGTAATAGCAAAAATATTGACATTATGTGTTAATTGATATTTTTTCCTGATTCTAGTAACATTTTCTAGATTATCCGACTTGTATAGAGAACCTGCTGCGTGCTTATCTTGGGTAGACTAACTTAGTTCTGTAGCAGAGTGGTTTTATAATCATATAATCAATAATTCATACATAAATTGAATTCTGGAGTTCAGAATAAACCAACGAAAATCTTATTATGCAAAATATTTATTGGGTAGATTAATATTAAGTTATTCAAAGCATAGAGGAAAAAATCTGAAAATGACCATATTTTTAATGATATCAATTGAATATCAAGTCATGTCGTGTGACGTTCCCGACCTTTCACTTAAAATTATGGTAATCACTGTCAGACATTATGCAAAAACTTCCTGACAATTTCATAAAGGAACGATATAAGAAGGATGAACGATATATCATAGTTTATGATACTTACAGACCGAATTACAATGGTGAGTGTGAGATATCCTTGATGTGATTTCTGAGATTCAATAAGTTTTGTATTTTTTATAACAGAAACGAATGTGACTGCAAAATTTTATTCGAAATATGAAGGACACTTGGACACCGAAGCTAGTCCCGCCATTTTGGAAAATTTGAAAAGAGCCAACGATTATGGCCCCAAAGAGAAATTGGCTTGGCCCGAAACTGAGAATCATTGGCAAGTACTCATGTAAAAACATCCCAATCAATCTCAAAATACTAAATTTCCAACAACCATTCGCTACTTATCAGAAATAGATTAGAAGCGCCTTATCAAAGTAAAGTCATGTCAACTTTCAAGAATAAAACTTCAGAATTATATTTCAGGTATGGATGGTATAGTGATCCACTAGTAGAGCTAGAGAGAAGTGATGGAAGACTATATTTCCCCAGAGCATCTACCGAAATGACAAGACATGGCTTGAAAATTCTGCAGACTAATAAAAAAAGCAAAAAATAATAAATAATGTATCACTTTTTAATGCCCCCTCCCCCCGCAGTGTTGCAAATAGCCAATTTTAAAAGCGACAATAGATAACACTATTGAAAAATAGCTGAACTATGACCAGAAATAGAAGCGCGCCGCAGGCAAAACATTTTTTAGCATTTTTTTAAGGAACAGAAAATCTGACCATGAACTATGAATCTGGCATCAAAAAGCAATCTTTATTTAATATACAATAGACCATAGAATACAATCTCTACTCTAGACTCTAGTAGTATTGACATTGACGTATGACGTAATGTGTTGCGTCATTAACATCAACGCCAATTTGTCAAAACGGTTGCATAGATAGTACAAAATCCATAAAAAAATAGACTGGTCTGAAACTGACTTCTAGATTAGATAATGATCTATGAGAATTTCATGAATATGAAAAAAATTCTATAGGAAGTCAGAATAAAAATGGCTAAATGGTTAGATGAAATTTTTAGTAGCTAGATGAGTTCAAAATGACTAGAAGTAGCCATAAAATGGTTGAGTTGGCAGCAGAGAGGGACATTTAATGACCTCTCTCTCATTTTCTGCTGCCGGTTCTGTGAATATTGAATATACAGGGCGATTCATCAAGAATGGGAAATCTCTGAACAACAGATAGTGAACATTGAATTTTTAAGATTCAGCCCAACATGCCTCACGCATAAGGATTTTGCTGGTTTTGGAGATACAGGGTGTTCTGAGCAGATATTTTATTTTTAAATATCTCAATAACTTCGTAAGTTTCAACAGCATATGAGCATGAAATTTTGTATTTTCAGGTTTTCTGACATGAGAAAAAATACGAATTTGTATCTAATTTTGTGATTGCTTATGAAGAGCCATAGTGGCACTCTGACACTTTGATAAACTACATCATATATTTTTTGTCCATAATTGAATGATGATCAAATAAATAAGTGGAAACTCTGAAAGCCCGTTCAATTTCACACACAAATTGTACTGGTTTTCAAAATGTCTAGCTCTAACGGTTTCTGCGTTATTTGCTCTTGAATAGAATTATATTTCACATATAATATTTGAATAATTTTAAATTATAACGTTAGCGAACTGACAGTGAAAAAACAGACGATGATCAATGATGACAATCACGAACAACGTAAATTTTCGACCAAAGATCACAAAAAAAAAGGAATCTTTCTTTGAACACCCTGTATCTGCAACATTTCTATGAAGCATATTGGGTTATATCTTAATATTTTGGTGTTTACTATCTGTATTTCAGAGATTTCCCATACTCAGTGAACCGCCCTCTATATACAGAAGTAAAAAGGTCCTTTCTGCGTGAAAAAGAAGACTAATTTTTCTAAATAATCTAACCTAACCCAGCCTAATAAACAGGGTGACAGCTGACATAAATACAAATATTTCGAACCGTAAATTATTTCGACAAAACTATTGAATGACACCCAAATAAATAATATAGGGATCAAAGAAAATTCAGCGTGAGACTCTTCTTACACCCAAAGTTCTACACTGTAGCAATTCTGACGTCACCTCAGTGAAATTTTCGTGCGGAAGGCACATTGACACGGAGTTCAATCATTTGAATTGCTTCGAGGTGACGTATTCGTTTTTTTCTCCCTATTTTTATAAAATTTTCGAGATCAAATTTCTCGTTAATCAGAAGAATCAGCAAAAATCTGATATCATGGAAATATCCGTTAGCCTACATTTCATTGATTTGCTGAATATAGGTACTCATTTCGAAAACACCTCTCATAGATAAAAAATGACAGAAAATATCCTCAACTTTCTTTTCACTCCACTCCGTATACTTACTATCGATATCGGAATTACTCATACTTGTTCGGGAATTTATCGGTTGGAAGGATGACGTAAAAAATTATTCATTTGAATGATAAATCAAACCAATCAGCAGTTTCGTTCTAGACTCGAAGTATTTAAGAGTGAAAAAGTGGAATCCATATTCGGCTTAGTGATTTAATTTTCAACTGAGTGTGTGGAAGTTGTATTTCTCAAGATGGTAAGTGTTTTTGTATAATATACAGGGTGTTTCGGAAGTGTGTCCTTGTGATTTCATAATTACTATAAATTTTGCATTTTCAGTAGTAGAAGATTACTTTGGGTCGAATATTTCGAAAATTGTTGATTTTTGCTCAATTGAAGGTGATGAATTTTGAAAGTGCATTCGAAAATTACAATTGAAAACATATGGTCTTCCATTTGAAAAAACTCATCATCAGCTAATATCTTGGAATTTATACACCCTATAGATATGAATATGATTTCAGGTGATAGCACTCATGAAGCCCTATAACTGTTGTATTTGAATTGTTTTCTATATATCTGACGGTTTGGCTGATATCGAAAGAGTGCCTTAAGGCACTATCGACTCACCCTATATACTGAAAATGAGCCTGTTTTTTTATTGTGAATATATTTAATTTCTTTTTACCCACTTTAAAACTACTTTTCCATATCAAATTTAGTCATACATGAAATTTTATCATTCGGGAATTTATCGTTAAGAAAGTTGACGTAACTATAATCAGTCATCAGAATAATATGTATCATGCCAGCCATTCACCAGTCATATATTAGATTTCGTCGCGTATGGTCGATTAAATTGGTTTAATACAATATCGTGTGACATTTTATTTCAAATATCTCCTCATTTGTGACAGTATGTTAATCGACGAATATGCCCAGGAAAAATAGTGTAACGAGTTGTATTCGTATGATTATTTCATGATTGAGTCAGACAATAAACGAGCGTATCGCGAGAGATGTGCCCAATGCACCCATCATTCTAGCTTCCAACACACATTGACGTTATGAACGTCAAAAATTTTATCGCTAAAAGACGAGGTTGGTTGATCACGTGTGGGTTTTCTATTGGTAGAGCAAATTTTCAGTAAACAAAAAATATCGCTTTAATACGGGAGAAAACGTAAAAATGGTCGTTCTCGGGAACGATAGTGGGATAGTCAAGTATAATCATGAATTCATGATCGAAAAAATTATTTCCAAATCACTAGAAGGACTTCCCAGATACTCAGTTTCTATTACCTATAAACAAATAGAAAATAAAAAAACACCGTTGTTTTCTATACGATATATTTCACTGTAATCTATTATACATAAAATGCACCTAAACTCAAAATTAATAAAATACAACCTATGGTTTATTCGTGTTGCTTCTTCCCCTGTAATTTGAGCTTCGTTTTTTTCCGCAGCAGAAGAACGCTACACACGCAACGACGAACGAAATCAAGAGAAAAATGGCCATTGCTAAGGGTACGTTTCCGTAGTCCACCGCTAGATGGTCGGACTTGAGAAAACCGAAGTTTCTCAAATTGTTCGTTCCGTTCGGCGGAGGACACGGCAACTGTACAATTATGTCTTGATGTTGGATCTGAAAAACACCGAAAATGGTTATTTTCCAATGACTGCATAGGAAAATGACAATTGTCGCATGAGTAGAATTTACGGCGATATAACAGTTATATCACTTATACATAACATTCTTACATAATAATCATATAACATATTTGTAACTATGATTATGCTCATACAGTATCCAGGGAATTATGTCAATTTCATATAAATTGATTCACAACAAATTCATTATCAACAAACGGACCTAACAACAACCAATCTGATTGCAGTATTTCTCGAGTTCTCACGAACAAACCCGAATAATAGATGATCGAGCTGGACTCGCTCGGAAGTCGAAAGGGCTCGACTTTCGTCTAGAGTTGGAAATGAAATGGCGTCAACGTTTATTCCTATACTCTGAGAAAATTCCCAGTCACAAACACATAATTCTCACATTATGCTGTAATGAAACGAAACGTAATGAAACATCAGCCGGTCTTCAAGAATATCAGCAAAAAAAGGATATAATTGATTTATCTATTACTCTGATTTGAATAAATCCGGCTCGAAGGACCAAGATGTTCGATACTTGATAGATAATGAACTGTAGTTGTATGGTACCACGTCGTCATCTTGACAACAAATGAAAATCCCTCATGAGAGTACTATACAGGGTGGGTCACGGTCGATGGCACCTTAGACGTTTACGGAGAACGGGACATAAGATCATTCTGAAAATTTGATTACTCAAGTAATTGCTCTTGATCTATCGACCTAAAATATTTTCAGCTCTGCGGCGTTGCCGCTTCTATCGAAAAGAGCAACAACTTTGTTATTTTAAATGGAACACCCTGTATTTCATCGCATTTTCAGATTCTCTCTGAAGAGCTGATTTCATCGATGTATCACACTTGGGGTCTAGCGGAAATGATTACAGAGATATAGGGTGTGAAAAATCGACATTTTTCAACTTGAGGAATTTTTTTTGTCGAAACTATTCATTATTGGTCAAAACGGCTTGCATGTCCCTATCTCAACTTTTGATCAACTATCTACTGACATTTAATTGAAACAAATACAGGGTGGTGCAGAATTCAGATTCTTGATCACCCGGTATATGTCCCAATTAAATATCAGTAGATAGTTAATCAAAAGTTGACATTCCTTAAGTTGAAAAATGTCGATTTTTCACATCCTATATCTCTGTAATCATTTCCGCTAGACCCCAAGTGTGATACATCGATGAAATCAGCTCTTCAGAGAGAATCTGAAAATGCGATGAAATACAGGGTGTTCCATTTAAAATAACAAAGTTGTTGCTACTTTTCGATAGAAGCGGCAACGCCGCAGAGCTGAAAATATTTCAGATCGATAGATCAAGAGCAATTACTTGAGTAACCAAATTTTCAGAATGATCTTATGTCCCGTTCTCCGTAAACGTCTAAGGTGCCATCTACCGTGACCCACCCTGTATAAGGTAATACGAGTACCAAACTATTACATATATAGGGTCATTCAAAAGTTAAACAAAGGGCAAATATTTTTAAATGCATATTCAAGGAAAACGAAGGAGAAATTTCGAACTTATTTGTGCAATATCTCGATAAATAGTTGTTTGTTCACATTTACTTCACGAAATTAATCTTTTTTAGAGGGAAATACGTGAGTAACAAGAATATTTTCGGAAAAACATGCGAAATTCAAGAAAAAAGTCACCAGTTTTTTTCTGCACAGAGTGGCCACGGCATTCTGAAGGCTCTGTATAGCCTCCGAGGACAGCTCCCTGTTCAACAGATAGGGCTGCAGCCAAGAAGTGGGGCTGAGGTACTGCAGAACTTTCAGATTTTCGAAAAATTTTTCAAGCATTTCAAAGTTTCACACGAAATTTATTTCCATACTCTAAGAAAATTGCCAGTCACTAAGACATCATGCTGATATTATGTTGTATTGAAACGAAAGATGAAAAAACATGAGCAAGTCCAAGAATATCAGCAAAACAATAGGAAATAACGGTTTTTTCTATTACTCTGATTTAGAGAGATCCGGCTCGAAGGACCAATATGTTCGATACTTGACAGATAGTGGACTATATTTGTATGGTAACACGTCGTCCTATTCACAATAAATGGAAAGCCATTATACGAGTACTATATAGGGTTATACAAGTACTGAACGAAGAGCAAATATATCTAAATGCATATCCAAGGAAAAGGAAGACGAACTCTCGAACTTTTCCGGGAAATTTCTCGATAAATAGTGGTTTGTTCACATTTTTATTATGAAACTAGCGCTTTTCAGACGAAAATACGTAAGTAACAAAGATATTTACGAAATAAAAAATTCACCTGTTTATTTCTGCACAGAGTGGCCACGGCACTCTGAAGACTCTGTATAGCCTCCGAGGACAGCTCCCTGTTCAACAGATAGGGCAGCAGCCAAGAAGTGGGGCTGAGATACTGCAGCCATTTGACGTACGAGGGCAAATCTTTCAGGTGCACCGCGTATCCGGCTGCCAGGAAGAAAGCCGACAAGATGGCGGAAGAAACTATGGCTGCCACATTCGTCGACGGAATGAGGTAGATGAAGGCGGTTAGGAAGGTTTGCGTGCAAACCAGGTAGAGGAGCATCACACCTTGAGGAAGAATTCATTCAATCACTATGTGATTTAGGTATTTATAAACTGCTGATTAATTGGACTGTAACTGGTACATTTTTACACTAAATTCAACATTGAGTATTTCTGGTCAGGATGAATACAAAATACATGTTTCAAAATAGTTATTTATCATACAAGGGAAAAAAGTAGTAGATTTTAGCTCTAATATTTTTCCCGTGTATAATACACTATTCTTTTCTGTGACAGAAGAAAGGACGTATCAATATTGCGGAGATATTACATTTAAAGTTTTTAACAGTAGGGACACCTGCGTTGTAGGCATCTTTATTATTCTTTTGAAGTGATTAAATAACTGATGTCACTTCTGTCAGTCTAATTCTATGATTTGATTTCAAAAAATTGCGAATTCAGTGGTTGTTTAGCAATATACGTAACCGCGAAGTCGAATGGACGATAAAAGGACTTGCAGTTCTTTCTCGGAGACGGTATTATTGACTCATTTTTCGGAACTATAGCACAACAAAGCAATCAACAGTGTATATATATATATATATAATATATATCCGGGAAAAAAGTACTCTTTTTTCCACGGGAAAAAAAGTAATTTATGAAAAGTGACATTTAAAACCTGCCAACAGAGATGAAATGCCAAACTTTTTTCCTGTCACAGAAAAAATATATTGTAATGATATTCCCCTTAGGGGCTCTAGCAACATCAGCAGGAAGTCAGGAGTACAACAATCATCCTGTAACACGCATCCCAGATCGTTCCCCAACCTCCCAATGATTCCTACATGCACCAGCATATTTCCGAACACTCAATATATGCCACGGTGACAAATAACGTGACAGAAGATTCTGGAATGTTCTGGAAACAATCGATGGAACAATTAGAGAGAGAGGTTTTGTTCTAAGAAGCTTCTATGTAGAACAAAAAGAAGGAGACGGAAGATCATTCGAGAACCTTCTCGAACCAAAGCCTGCCAATGGATCTCATATATTAGACGGCCGAACAACTGCGTCAGTCAGTCGAGCAGCGAGTGTCAGAGAGGCAATGATATACCGCGTGATATAAATCGTTTTACATAAATAGTAGTTATAAGTTCGTAATAAATTAGTGTTTCTTTAGTTCAAATAAATCAGTTCGAAAATAAATAGTGTCGTGTTCGCTTCTGCACCCGAATAAGGTAACAATATTTTTCCAATACCTAGAGTAGGTAATGAGAAAAATTACCAAAATGATTTTGAGTAATATTTTAGACCATTATAAAACCATGTCGAAGAAAATCCCAGAATGTTTATTGAATTGGGAGCATGGAGAATTTTTCAATATTTTGCACTTGTTTGTTTGTCTCCTGTATTATCAAAATTCAAATGTCACCATCTATTTCCATCAGTAGTTCAATCCCCTGTAAGGATATTTTTTTAAGTTACAGGGGGTGGTAATTTATAACGTGTCACCTGGTACATACACACCAACAAAGTACATATACTACTAGTACTACTACTACTACTGAAAAGGAAGGTACTAACCTATATAGGTGTAAAACCCATCATAGCTGGTCAAACTCTGCATATACAGTCCACTCATAGAATAGCTTGGTACGATGTAGATTAACCAGCAAAATAATGATGGAAACATGTTCAGCAGGGACTGAAGACAAAACAAAATGTCATAAAACTCATAATATCGGGTCAAAGTAACACAAACATGAAAACTGTTGGTGTTATTGAATGTTTAGATTTATTCGCGGGAATCAATGTTACCAGGTGGCGCTCGGTTTTCATCGTTCCATGTCAAAGCCACGTCAAAACTGGGGGAAAACAAACTCAATCCTCACTCAATCTTATTAGTGCCATCAGCTCGTGTACTGTGCACTGATAAGAGTGATAAGTTTTTAAATTTCTTGACAATAATTGTCAATATTCGATCGAAAACGCTAAAAATGTCTGTTGTAGAGGAGGAGCAGTCTCCGTGCTAATCATGTGATTTTGTGTGAAGCAGAAGACTTCAACAAAAGGCACATTTTTGCACTTTGTCTACAAACTTCGGCGATGAAATCTTCCCCACATGAAGTAAAATTGAAGTTGGGGTCGAGAGGAACTCCTGTAGAATAATGGAATTGTATTTGTTCATGCAAAGCAGGACAATCTGGGTATTGTAAACATATTGTAGCTGCTCTTTTATATGTCAATAATTGATTTGCTCGTCATAATTAGATGAATTGTTTGAACTATCTTCAATTCTTCACCCGTTCACTGTTCACTCAACTAATAAAAATGAAATAACGTAAAAAAATTAACCAACTCAACCATCATCACTTCCAATACAGTGCCAACACTTCATGTCATTGACAAGTTTAACTACAGCTACAACAAGCTGAATGCAATGTAGTCTATGCCACAGATTTATCCATAGACAACAGTTTGTTTTCCCCCAGTTTGAAGTTCGTATTATGTAACCTAGATGTCGCCCACTTCGTGAATCTCGCGAATTAAGTTACACACCTTGCATTGTGACAACATCATCATAGTCGTTCCGTGTTTTTTCATTCAAAATTGTTTCAATTAGAATATAAATTTATGAACGTCAGAATTGAAATGTAATTTCATGAACTATTAAGAACAAAGCATAAATGAAAATAATGTCATGCTGTGTAATGAATAGCAGGAATTCTGATGGAAATGGCGATTCCATTTCTTTAATTTTCCAAAGGAAATATCAATCATTCCCTCATGGAAGGAATGTATGAAACGGCCTGGATGGAAAATTAATTTGGAGACAAGCTAAAGTGAGGTATAAGTACATACATTAAAATTCACTTCTTATAACAGCAGATTGGAATGAAACTATATTTTAGGCCCAGTTTCAAACAGAAGATTTATAAGATCCGTTTGAGAGAATCTGATGTTCTATTTATTCACAAAACAGGCTATTGAAAAAAAATCCAATAATATCATCACACGAAATGCAAAACAAAATGATCATAGAGAAAGAGGAATTGACTGCAAAACTACGTAATAGAATTGAAAATTTGAGGACGAAACTGAGGAAATCAAATAAATTGCAACGTGATCATGTACTAGCGTTTTCAATACTGACCAAATTCAAAATTTATCATCACTCGGGTACAGTTTTACATACAATAAAAAACTATAATATGACTGTATCTTAATGATATGTAAGTTTTGTTCACTATTTGTAATTTCAATTATACAACAGTCGATAATACTTCATGAATGATCTTATACCAGGAATTACTGTCTGATCATTCATGTCATTCCTACTAGAAAATTAATTATACTTTATATATTATTTGTATGAAATGTATCAATGAAGAAAAGAATGTAATGCAATAACTGAAATAAATAAATAAATAAATCTATAAGTATATCCATATGTGTCTATATTTTGTCATATTAAAATGTTGTTACATGAATTCTTTTCATTTTTATAACTATTGTTCTACAAAAAGGGTATCGCTATATAAATCGAAGTGGGTGTTTATACCATCTACGACAATGATTGATTTGACAGAAAATCTAACCTTTAATATCTGACATTCAGACTCTACTAGGAAGATTGAAAAGACAAAAAGCAAAATATAGTTTTATTCTTTTATTCACTCCAACCATTGTAATATTGAAAATAGAAAAGGACAGAAGTTCAGTTGTGTCCGAACTCTTATCTAACAAATAGCATCCAGTCACTCTAAAAGTGACTATACAGTGTGTCCCACTTACCATGCTCACCATGGGTATCTTTTTAACGGTGAGAGATACGAGGTCGGTTAAATGACACCAAATGTGGAGTTTGTCAAGGTCAACTATAATGTGAAAAAATATTTTGATAAAATCTATTCGTTTTTGTTTTATACGCAAAAAAACAGATTTTGATCATTTTCATGTCTCCTCCGTAACTTCTTTATTTACGAACATATTCAAATAGGAATTTCACATTCTCATGGCGGTTTTTCAAAATAGTTTCGAAAATGATATGAAATTTATACCAACTCTTCTAGAATTTGAGATATCAGCACCAACTTTAGTTTTTCAAATGTAGGTCATAGCTCACTATGACTTAGTTACAAATAACTTTTTTTCTCTCACAGATGATATCTCGCAGCAATAGTTTTGTGTTGATAACAACGGAGTTATCGTCATTTATACAAAAACAAAAAATGATTTGGATGCCGCCATCTTGAATTCATAAATTTGAACAAAAAAATCATGATCTCCGACCTCAAAAACCCCCACTCACCAATTTTGAATGGAATCGGACCAAATCTTGTCCGCCATCTTGGAGCAGCCATTTTTTTTTAATTTCAACGAAAATTCCATAACTTCGATTAACTTGAAATTTGGCAGGTGTTCATAATTTCGGTGACAATTCATTATGGAATTTTTGTTGGAGTTAAAAAAAAATGGCTGCTCCAAGATGGCGGACACGATTTGGTCCGATTCCATTCAAAATTGGTAAGTGGGGGTTTTTGAGGTTGGAGATCATGATATTTTTGTTAAAATTTATAAATTTAAGATGGCGGCTTCCAAATAATTTTTTGTTTTTGTATAAATGACGATAACTCCATTGTTATCAACACAAAACTATTACTGCGACATATCATCTGTAAGAGAAAAAAAAGTTATTTGTAACTAAGTCATAGTGAGCTATGACCTACATTTGAAAAACTGAAGTTGGTGCTGATATCTCAAATATTAAAAGAGTTGGTATAAATTTCATATTTTTTTCGAAATTATTTTGAAAAACTGCCATGAGAATGTGAAATTCCTATTTATATATTTTCATAAATAAAGAAGTTACGGAGGAGACATGAAAATGATCAAAATCTGTTTTTTGCGTATAAAACAAAAACGAAAAGATTTCATCAAAATATTTTTTCACATTATAGTTGGCCTTGACAAACTCCACATTTGGTGTCATTTAACCGACCTCGTATCTCTCACCGTTAAAAAGATACCCATGGTGAGCATGGTAAGTGGGACACACTGTATTTTGGAATAATGAAAAACTGTCTAGGTGTTTGTGGGTAATCCTTAATGAGAACCCGTCGTTAGTTTATATGAAAAGAAAAATCCCTAATAGTACTTTTTCAAATTTGGACCCATATAAGTTCATAGTTGGCCAAGAACGGTTGAAAAATGGAGCCACATCCACTTGTTGAATATGCAAATATTCTGAGAAATCATAGAAGTTGAAAGCATTGGTGTAATAATTCTGAACTAAAATAATGATAAAAAAAAACAGTATAAATGTTCATAGATTCGCGTGTTTGCCGTTCTTACCTTCGTAACAATATAAGTCCCTCTGCCATAAAGACCGTCTTGAATATCCCGCTCGACTGTCATCCTGTTTTTGCTGATCTCGGAAACGGTGAGACGCATTAAGAGAGGCCACAACAGCACGCACATGGCGCTGTAGTGGTACCCCTGCCTGTCATTCAATACGAGTTGTGAATCCGACGTTGGTATGTCCCAGAAAATGGCGCCCAGGAGCAGAGACAGACTGGCAGATAGTATTATAGTGGTTAGCCAGTTGAGGAAAGTGACTGGCTGCGTGTAAAACATGGCTTTCCTGTAATATTAATCGACGATTGTATGTTTTTTCGATGTGTTTTTGTTTTTTTATGTTCTGGTCTCACGAAAAGGGATATCCTGTAATGTTCAGAGAACATCGTGAGAGCTAAGGGAAATGAGGTAGGAATTGGTGTTCTTCTCAAATTTCTGGAGGTTATATGCCTCGGGAAACACCTTCCTTGGCAATGTGTTCCAGAGCCTCGCTGTTCGTTGGATGAACGAGTCTTTGGAAAGAGATGTTCTGCAGGTCTCCAAAGTGACCACGAAGGGGTGCGAAGCCTCAACTCGACGGTTGTATCTCGCGGGGACTGCCAAGGAAGGAACAATTGTTGATATTTCAGAAGAGCATCGTCCATGAAAATATCTATAAAATAGAGCCAGATCGCCAACTTTTCTACGGTGTTCCAAAGTAGTGAGTGAGTTTGTGAGCAAGGCATCACCCACGAGACGAATTGCCCTTTTTTGGACAGAATCCAACAGTTTCAGGGTATGTTTGGGAGCTGCACTCCAAATATGGGAACAGTGTTCCAGGACAGGTCGGATCTGTGCCTTATATATCATAAGCAGCTGACTGGAAGTTAAATAGCTCCTGGCCCGAAACAGAAAACCAAGTTTTTGGGATGCACTCTTGGTTATTGTTCTCACGTGATTTTCCCAAGGAAGGTTATTGCTGATAGTAATACCGAGCATCGAAATGGATGTCTTCAAAGGTATGGTTAGTCCTGACAAGCTTATGTTGGGCACAGTGAGACCGGTTTTTTCTATAAAAAAGGCATGCTTGTGTTTTGTTTGCATTGAAATCTACCAAGCTATTGGATCCCCATTCGAGAATAAATTGTCGTCAAGTCCATATTTATGTTGTCAACATTTCTCCCTCGTTCGTTTCTGATTTGCCTGGCTGGCATTGGAGTCCTGGGAGAAAAGGCGGTATGGAGAGTACTATCATCCACGAAGCTGTGTTGCTAGAATTGATCCTTGCAGAACACCAGCATTTATGATAAGAGAGTCAGATGAAACTCCGTCGACCTCTACATGGAGAGACCTGTTTGAGAGAAAACTAGCTAGCAGAGAACGTAGTTGGGGAGGCAAGCCATAAGATGGAAGCTTGGCGAGGAGTCCGTGGTGCCAGGCTCGATCGAATTCCTTGGGAGTTGCTTATAAATACACACACCATCAAGAAAATAATCATTCAATTCTTGCCCGATTCTGGTGGAATGTTGGCCAAATTGTAGATTCATGTTATAGGTACCTACTGTCTTATTTATTTTGTTCAATGTATTTGTATATTCACTATGTTTCCTGCTATAAACAAATTTGTATCTTAGGAATAATAAACTTGATTGATTCACTAATTGATTGATTGAATGAGACATAATGAGAAACAAATGAATAAATGGAATAAACAAATGGAGAAATTAATGAGTAGCTATTATTTTTTCCTTACGTGAATAGAACGAAAGCATGTACTAGGCAATTCGATTTCCTCACTGTCATTGGCAAAGCAGATGGTTGACCTGGATCGCTCATCGGTTCTTGTTTTTGTCGGAAAATTTCAGCTAATTGTTCTATCCGTTGGGAAGATTCCAACATGGCTTCTGCCGAGAGATCGTCTAAGGTCACCAAATCAACTAAAAAACATCGGGAAATTTGTTTTTTGTAGGTTTTATCAAACAATCTCAAGATATTGATGGCTGTTTCAACCATATTTTCATCAAGTAATTTTTAAGGAGAAATTATGATGGCACACTGACCCATTCAATGATGGTACTATTCAATCTGAAATTATAATATCAATCATGAGTATTACCCTTGATTATTCACACTAACAAGATGGACCATCCTTATGAGAGCAATGAAGCCAGAAATTCTATTCATGTCAATCACCAGAAGCTCTTAGCAAAACTGGAAATGTATGGACTAAGAGGTGTCTCGCTCAGCTGGATATCTTCATTTCTCAAAAATCGGAGCCAGTATGTGTCCCTTCAGGCAACCATTAATAATGAAATTCGGAGAATTGATTCAGAACCTTCAAAGATAGAGATGGGTGTACCTCAGGGATTCATTTTGGGGCCCATTCTGTTTATTTTGTATGTCAATAATATTGATTCTGTAATAGCTGGGTGTCATTATACGGCCTATGCTGATGACTTATCTTTGATTATTTCTGCCTCAGATACCAGAATTTTGGAAATTAAATGTATCAGTGCAGTTAGTCAGATATAAAATTCTTTTAATAATCATGATTTATTTTTCAATTCAGACAAAAAGAGAGATTATCCGCATACATAATAGACAGAATAAAATAGAAAGATTTAGTTTCATGGTTGACAATGTAACATATCTGGAGACTAACGAAAGTGTGAAGTTTCTGGGTATTTTCCTAGACAAGTTTCTGAACTGGAATGTCCACTGTCAACACTTAATTTCCAAGCTTAATTCCCTGAAGTTTCTTTTTATGAATTTGCGCTCGGTTTTGAATAGAACTCAGCTGCTGAATATTTATTACTCCCAGGTAGAGTCCAGACTTAGGTATGGTGTATGTTTCTGGGGTAGTTCAAGCATGGCGCAAGATGTATTCATTGCCCAAAAACGCATATTGCGATGTATTGCGAAGGTCTCGGCCACAGAATCTTGTAAACCACTCTTTATAGATTTCAATGTGTTAACGTTAGTATCTATATATATGTCAGAAATATGTCTGTATATATATAAAAACAGGTCAGTTTTTGAAGTGAATAAAAATGTTCATCACTATAACACCAGGATTAGAGATCAATTTCATGTACCATTTGCTAGACTATAAGAGTAACCTCCAGAACACCTGAGCACATCGGAAGAAGAATTTTCAATAAACTTCCTGACAATAAGGAATGCAGAGCATCTTGCTCTTTTCAAAAAGATGCTAAACAGGTTTTTGATGCAAAAATTTTATTATTCGCTGACAGAATTTTTAGGCTAGACATAGGTCTTGATCTTTTAATTGTCTTTTCTACATATTTCCTGTATTTTTTCTTCTGTTCTATGTTCTGACAATTTCCTATACAATTTGTAATATTGTCTTATTGGAAAATAATGTATTATTATTATTATTATTATTATTATTATTATTATTCAGTAGGTGGCGGTATCTATGAGCGACAAGGTGAACTACTTTCTGTTGAGTAACGGAGGGTAGAGATCGGTAATGGGAAACGAATTCGAAGATCATTTTTAGGTGTTTATTTGGTATAAGAAATGTCGCATCACAGACGGATCATACTGTTATTATTTAAAAGCCTTCAGAATATCAAAGTTAGTCATTTTCCTGCTCGAAATAGTAGATTGTTTAATTAAGATCAAAAGTGACACTTTGTTTGACAAGCGAATTTTGCATTTGCGAGGCGGAGCGTTTAGCGAAGCCGAGCGAAAGCAAAATTTGCGAGTCAAACATAGTCACTTTTGATCCGAATGAAACATGCTATTTTTTCTGCAACCGAAACAATTAACTCAAACGAATATATGAAGTAACCATCAATGCCGTGCCATATGTATGCAATGCAACAAATAATCCGTAAGGTGGGAATATTCTACTTGCATTTACAGCCAAATTTGGCTCCAAAATTTTACATTCAGGTGGATTATCTTGTTACTGTAAATGATCAAGGGGGTGTTACAAGAAAAATAACAAAAAAAGAAAGAAAAAACCGTTGAGAAATCCCGATAGATGTTGAACTCACGGTAATAATCCGATGGATTTTTGAAGGATGGACAAGGGTATTCGACTAATGCGAAATATGGCAACATGTCCCGTCTCCTTCCGCTATACATGGTCCTGCCGGCAGAAATCAACAGTATCCTTGATAGCATCGTGAAAATCTCATAGGTTGGAGGGTGCATCGTGAAAATTACTGTGAATAATAATGACAATAATAGTTATTTATTATTTAAGGGTGAAAAGTATTAGATTTTAGCTCGAGGTTGTCGGGAGACAAAAAACTGAGAGCTAGAATCAAATATTCTTCCCGTGTATAATACCGTTACCACCGATACAACAAGGCCAGCAGACTCTGACGTAAACAGCTCGTGACGTCACCAAGAGAGGCCCGTGTTTTATTTTATCGCTTGTCGACAAATGCGTCAGTTCGTGTTGATTCATCGGTGATTCACGTATGTTTTTGAAACGGTCCCGAATTCTTTTGTTGATTATTCATCAAAATAATTGGCGGAAAAATTACTGTTTTGTGAAATATTTTGTGTTGTGATCGGCGAAATAACACTGCCTCTCAAGTGTTGTGTTCCCTTTTGTCGGGGAATTATGTTGGTGGTTCAAAAGTTCATGCTTTTAGTTTCCCGTTGGACGGGGAGCTATCGAAAATGTGGGTATATACAATTCACCGCGAGGATTTTACTCCATCTAAGTTCAGTAGTAAACAGAGCTTGATTTATAATGATGAATTAATAATAGAAGACAATTACTCTCTCATAAAAGGGCATTCTTAATTCTCATTCTCAAATTTCTTCCTGAAAACGGTCATTTGCCTCGTGGCAATGAATGCAGAATTCATTCCAATGACCAAATTGCAACTATCATATTAACATGAACTACAAACACTCTACTTAGAAAGGTAAAACTGCATTTATCATGATATTTATCATGAAGATATAAAAAGTTCCAAATTTCACCTTCTTTTTTCTTCTGGATGGCATTTAGAACAAATTTCCCTTCTTTTTTCATCATATTGGACAATTTATATATAATTCAACTATAAATATGATTTTCTTGAGATTAATCCATATTTAGTGAAAAGAAGGAAGAATATCATTCAAAATAATGGCGTGTGTAATGTCATTCGAAAGCAATCTATTGACATTTGACATCACATATTTTGATTGACTATTGATTAAATGGTCGTCATCTGGAATGCTTGTTCACTAAATATGAAAAACTCGCCATAAAAATCATATTTCCTGTTGAATTTTCTATATAAAAATGTGCCATCGAAGTACATCATGAGTATATAAAGTGTCCAATGACAAAATAAGATCAAGTAGCTTCAAATGCCCCCAACACAAGGGGAGAAAGAAGGCGAAATTTCGAACTTTTTCTTGAAATATCTCAATAAATAGTGGTTTGTTCACATTTTCATTATAAAATTCGGTTTATCAGACAAAATTACGTGAGTACCGAAAAAAATTTTCAAAAAAAACCATTGCATGATAAATGCAGTTTTACCCTTAAAAATTACGGTTTCAAGTGTAACGATCCACTTGGGTGAAAAATCCAACAACAGAAAATTGAAAACACTCACTGGTTATTTTTTCAGGTAATAGGAATTCTCCAAGATAAATATAGGTAATTGTAACAAACGGCATGTCAATCAAAATAAAATACATATTCAACAATTTTCTTTCGATCAATCTCACGATAAGTTTATGTTCTGCGGGCCCTGTATAAGTAGGTGTGAAGTTCACCTTCACCACAATTTTTGCCAATATATTTAATTCAATGGGTTGCTGTAGGTGGATATTTGTGTTTCATCCTGGTTTTTGCTTTAAAACTTAGTTTTTCCATAATAAAATCGAATGGGGTGCGAAGAAGGGCTCAGTTGACGACTGGCATCCTTTTTTAACCGGAAGCCCTTCAAAAAACAGCAAAATCGGCTCAATGATGATCTAAAACTAACATCGAAAAACGCGGTCGCCTTATAGCGCTAGAAGCGCTTGCCGCTGGTTAGGCCTCACTAAGTGACGTCACCCACGGAGCATGCAGGCCTTGTTGTATCGGTGGTAACGATGATACACTATATTTTTCTGTGACAGGATTATGATAAAATCAGAAAATTGTCGACGTGAAATTTGGTAACCTGTCAACAGAGATGAAATGCCGGACTGTTTTCCCGTCACACAAATTTTCTCCTACCTATTCGTCCCACGGCGTTTCCAGCGCCCCCATTGGCCCACTGCTTCAGGTACTCGACCAAGAAAAACGTGTCGAAAATGTCCATCCCTCTGGTGGGCTGATCGAGCACCACTAGATCGGTGTCCAGGATCAGGTGACAGGCCACGTTCAGTCTTCGTTTCTCTGAGACAGTCATCGAGGACACTTTCGTGTCTCTCACTTGCTCCAGACCGAGATCCTCAATCACAACATTTATCTTCAAGAGGGAAAAAAACATAGTCTGTACTGAACGCGTCGATTGAACCAATTTTATTATTACCAGGAAAGCACTTAGCAAGTAGAAGGTGATTTCGAATTAGGACAGTGAACATTCTCGAGACCTACAAATTTTGTTACCTCTGTATATTTAATGAATCTACTGTTCTTGGAGATATACATATATGAAATGATATCACTTTCAACATCCCGTTCGATATCATTCAATTATTTCTATACACAAATCAATATTGCATCATCTGCAGATAATTTCTGCTTTCCTTTCAATTTCAGAGTTGATATCGAATTAATATAAATTGAGAATAAAATTGGTCCCAAAACTGATCCTTGCGGTACTCCACATGTGATATTCATAGCGAGCTACAAGTATCATTCACCTTCACATACTGCTTACTATTTGTTAAATAATTTGTGAACCAATCATGAATTCTTCCTCTGACATCTATCGAATGCAATTTATTGAGTAAAATTATATGATCTACAGTGTCGAATACCTTACATAGATCTAAGGACAAAAAGCCACAAGACATTACATCCATCACGGCTATCTCTGTATCCTTCGACCTACGGAATCCAAATTGACAGACACCAATTTTGAATAGACTTGTATCACAATTATTACAAAGCTGGTTCGCCATATTGGATCTGCCATCTTTAATTTCACAATTTTGACAAATGAATCATAATCTCCGACCCCGAAAACTTCCAGATACAAATTTTGAATATAATCGGATAACAGTTACAAAACTCGTCCGCCATATTGGAGCCGCCGTCTTGAGTTTTCTGATTTTGACAGAAGAATCATAATTGCTGACCCCAAAAACCACCAGATACCAATTTTGAATAGTGTGAATCGAAACGAAGCAGTGCGTATAGAGCTTTTCTAGGTAGTATGTCATGAAAATGGTGGAGGAGCCGACAGCATTTTTTTCTGAACTCAAATTTGATCGGACGAGAATAAGAAGTGTTCAATCCCAGAAACTATACAGAGGAGTGAAAATTTCGATGTTCGAAATTTGCTCGATGAGGTGTCCAATTCATAAACCAGTCAAGATCACCTGCAAATGAACATCGCTATGTATGTAAGTTGACCGCAAAATTGTTCTTCACTTTTCCTATGTGACTTAACTGGTAAACCCTTTCACACCCACTATTTATCATAGGGATTTCCTTTCATGCGCTCCAAGCGATAAAAAAAAGAAAATTAAGAAAAACAGATATAGAACAATCAAGACTCCGCAAGGCGACGCCATCTTGCAAATTCTGTTTCATTTCGATGCTTTTGCACGAAGAATATACCACTACAGCAAAGATACGTTGAAATTGAGACACATTTACATATGCCAGTTAATATTTATAAACTTTGAGTGGGTCATATATATCCCGATGGGACTGTAAGGGTTAATGCAATTTCGGAGTGGCCCCCAGATGGATCCTTGCGGTGCACTCACCCTATCCATGGCCTCGATTTTGAGGTAGCTCAATTTGTCGGTGGGTCTCTTGAGATCGTAGTGGAAGCGCAGAGTTTGCACGGCCGTCATGTCTTCGCACATGCGCGCATCACTTTGCACGTACGCCACTCTGGATCGTAGGTGGCGCTGTCTGACGTTCTGGCCATTCAGCAGGACGCTACGAGTCGAATCGAATGAAATAGTTATTTAACCGCATTGACTCATGAACACAAATTTGTGGATTAGACGACACACACCAAGTGTTTAGTACTTCAAAGAAAAAACAAAATACACTAAGTCGGTCGACTACAAAGTTTTATTACATTAATTGACTTTTTGTGACTAGTTTCGGCTCAAACTGCTATCTTCAGACACAATACACAGTACCTGTAAAGATATTCAGTTTACAAGGATAATAAAGATATTGAGAAACAAACATACCTATACAGTGTGCCCCACTTACCATGCTCACCATGGGTATCTTTTTAACGGTGAGAGATACGAGGTCGGTTAAATGACACCAAATGTGGAGTTTGTCAAGGCCAACTATAATGTGGGCAAATATTTTGATAAAATCTATTCGTTTTTGTTTTATACGCAAAAAACAGATTTTGATAATTTTCATGTATCCTCCGTAACTTCTTTATTTATGGAAATATTCAAATAGGAATTTCACATTCTCATGGCAGTTTTTCAAAGTGATTTCGAAAAAAATATGAAATTTATACCAACTCTTCTAGAATTTGAGATATCAGCACCAAGTTTTGTTTTTCAAATGTAGGTCATAGCTCACTATGACTTAGTTACAAATAACTTTTTTTCTCTTACAGATGATATGTCGCAGTAATGGTTTTGTGTTGATAACAACGGAGTTATCGTCATTTATACAAAAACACAAAATTATTTGGAAGCCGCCATCTTGAATTTATAAATTTTGACAAGAAAATCATGATCTCCGACCTCAAAAACCCCCACTCACCAATTTTGAATGGAATCGGACTAAATCTTGTCCGCCATATTGGAGCAGCCATTTTTTTAAACTTCAACAAAAATTCCATAATGTATTGTCACCGGATTTACGAACATCTGCCAAATTTCAAGTTGATAGGACGGCCAGAAGTTGAAATTAAAAAAAATGGCTGCTCCAAGATGGCGGACAAGATTTGGTCCGATTCCATTCAAAATTGGTGAGTGGGGGTTTTTGAGGTCGGAGATCATGATTTTCTTGTCAAAATTTATAAATTCAAGATGGCGGCTTCCAAATAATTTTGTGTTTTTGTATAAATGACGATAACTCCGTTGTTATCAACACAAAACCATTACTGCGACATATCATCTGTAAGAGGAAAAAAAGTTATTTGTAACTAAGTCATAGTGAGCTATGACCTACATTTGAAAAACAAAAGTTGGTGCTGATATCTCAAATTCTAGAAGAGTTGGTATAAATTACATATTTTTTTCGAAATCACTTTGAAAAACTGCCATGAGGATGTGGAATTCCTATTTGGATATTTCCATAAATAAAGAAGTTACGGAGGATACATGAAAATGATCAAAATCTGTTTTTGCGTATAAAACAAAAACGAATAGATTTTATCAAAATATTTTTCCACATTATAGTTGGCCTTGACAAACTCCACATTTGGTGTCATTTAACCATCTCACCATTGAAAAGATACCCATGATGAGCATGGTAAGTGGGACACACTGTATAAGGCCACGTGGAAATCACAAAATAAAATAAAATTAAGAATATCAAGGAGTCATGGTCATTTGGCCAAAAATCAGTCCGGTAAAGGAATGTTAAAATTGTTGAACCGACTGAACAGCCAACAAAACTTGGGAAAATTAGTAATAATTCAATCAAAGGAGTTTCATCTTCAAATGGCCATTTTTGTGAAAGACAGAAGCCAAGGAGAAGGCGATGCGTCAAGCTTAGCAACAGACGTTGACAGAATACAAGACAAATGACAGTGACAAATGAAACAAACCAAATGACATGTACAATATAAGAGTAAATTTTGAACATAATCAGTTATGATACTATTACAAAAAATTTATGGAAACTGAATTAATTACAAAGTCCATTATGCCTGTATACCTAAAGGAGAAGTACGTGGTAAGGTTGAATAAGATGAATAATCTAAAAAAAAAAGAAATGCTAAGGTGTATTAAATATAATCAATCAAACGAAATCTTCTTCCAATCACAAACATCTACTTGTTAATTCTAAAGACAAGATTGACAAGATGATTCTATTTGAGGAATAAAACAATTAGTCTAGTCGCCTATTGTCAACATGACGATTTGAATGAAGAAATTTATATTTACCTTCCGAGAACTGGACTGCGCATGCCTGCTATAACGTCCAGCACGGCAGCACCTTCTTCCTCGTTAGTCGCCATGACAGCCATGACCTCGCCGCCTCTGATCTCGAAGGAGATTTCGTTGAGCAACAGGTGGCGGCCAGATCGGAAGCAGTTGCGACCAGAAGTTTTCGGAAAAACTCCCACGCCACACACCTAAATGATTATTTAAGAAATTTTTCATCGGAGATTTATTTGATCTTCCATATTGGATCCGCCATCTTGAATTTCCCATCTTGACGAATGAATCATAATTTCCGAGTCCGAAAACCCCTAGATACCAATTTTGAATAGCATCGGATCATAATTACAAAACCTGTTCGCCATATTGGATTTGCCATCTTGAATTTCCCAATTTTGACGGAAGATTCATAAATGGCCGACCCCGAACACCTCCGATACCAATTTTGATTAGGATCGGATCCTAATCTCCGACTCCGAAAACAAGTTTTGAATAGAATCGGATCATAATTTCGAAACTCGTTCGCCACATATTGGATCCGCCATATTGAATTTCTCAATTTTTGATGGAAGAATCATAATCTCCGACCCCGAAAATCCCCAGATATAAATTTTGATCAGAATAGGATTAAAATTACAAAATTCGTCCGCCATAGTGCATCTTCCATTTTGAATAATGTCTGTAGGTTAATCGAGGAGGTGGTGCATTCATTATTCCAAATTTTTTGGGATTTTCTCTCCTCGTTTCTATAAAATATAAATATGAATGTTATTTCAATATAATATTCATATTTATATTTTATAGAAACGAGGAGAGAAAATCCCAAAAAATTTGGAATAATGAACTTCCATTTTGAAATTCCCAATTTTTGACAAAATAATCATAATCTCCGACCACGATAATCCCCAGATATAAACTTTGATTAGAATCGTATCATAATTACAAAACTCGTTCGCCATATTGGATCCACCATCAGGAATTTCCAAATTTCCACGAAATAATCATAATTGTCGACCCCGAAAACCTCCAGAAACAAATTTGGAATAGAATTGGATCATAATTACAAAACACATATGCCATATTGGAGCCAAAATGGAGCCGACATTTGGAATTTTCCAATTTTGACAGAAGAATTATAAGTATCGATCTCAAAAACCTTTAGATACCAATTTTGAATAGGATCGGATCATATAATTACAAAACTCGTTCGCCATTTTGAAGCCGACATTTTTTTTGTTCTCTAACAAACATTTAATCATGCATTGTCATCAGAATTATGTATGTACATCTGCCAAATTTGATATCAGTCGAACGATTAGAAGTGTGTCATATTTTACTTGAAAGATTTGATTACACACAGACACAGAGGTAGGTGAAAGTAAATGAAAGCTTGCAAAAAAAGGTGGAGTATCAACTATAACATCATCTAACAAGATGAATCATCCTCAGAAATAGATGTATAGAGAGTCAAATGGTGTTATCACTTCCTATCGAAAGGAGTTTCGAAATCTCTCGATATCGTCTACTTTGTAAAAATAGCGAGGCGTCGGAGAATCTTGCTTAATTTCCGAAGAAGTACCAAATTTACAGGTTTCAGGACATATCATTTGAGTTCACATTTTCATTTTCACAACTTTTTGTTTAAATGGAAACGGTGCGTCATATTTTCGACTTTCAATGGTGAATTCATGAACGACACGAAGTCCTAACTCAAGAAAATCCTGTGATAGTAGTTCATTCTCACTTTTGGTACAAAAAATAAAACTAATATTCAGATTTTCAAATAATTCTCAAACATTGCAGCAGTATCAGTCCATGATGAAAGCACAATACACACTCGACTAATAATATAATATCAATACCTGCTTAATAAACTACTAATGCTCTCAATTCATAATATTTCTATTCGAAATTCGAACAAAATCTTAAATATGCCGAAAACATGACACTAGTGACAGATATGTTAAGATCGAAATGTTTCCGCACGGATTATTTGTCGCGCCCTGTCTCTTCTGCGTCCTGTCTCTAGATGCTTCTTATTAGCTATTATTGAATTCGTGCATCATCAGCGGAACTGCAGGTCCCGAAAGAAGGAAAACACATCCTTGGAAGTCTAGTTCAACTTCATAACAAGATTCGAATCGCATTTTGAAATTTTTCAAGAAATTGCCATCGTTCACGCCATCTATAATCGAATATGAGAACCCCACGTTCCGAACTCGTATTCAATTGTTCATATCGAGAGCTAGTCTGACAAAACAATTGAAGAGTGAGCACACCAGAGGAATTATAGACATCTCACTCATGGGATCAATGAAGCCAGAAATTCTGTTCAGTAGGTGGCGGAATCTATGAGCGACAAGCTGAACTACTAGTAGCGAATGGTAGAGATCGGTAATGCAGAATAATTCATTTTGAGATGTTTTTATTCAATGAGGAATGTTGCATGAGGGCCGGATTGTAAGATTTTTATTCAACAGTCACAATATCAAAGTTAGTGAATTTCTTGCTTCAGAAAGGAGGACATTCGTAGATAGTTCAGCAACTTCCAGATAGATGGTGTTGAGTTTCACTAGCGTCGCCTATGAACCAGCCAAGAACTGAGGCCAACTTTGGTTTCATTTACATGGAATTGCATGGATCATCTTGTTAGAACCAGAACTTAAAAAAATGCTGTTCATATTTTTTCAACTTTTGTTTGTTGACTTGTGACTAGAATATAACAATTTGAACTACCGTAATGTTAGGACTTATCACCACCACAGTTTCTGACAGATTTAGGATGAAAAAAAAAACAGCCACCTAGTCTTTTTATTATATGGAGCGTACGAAAAATCCTTATTATGTTCGAGAATCATCGTGCATACCTAGGGAGAATAGGGAAAAAGGGTAGGTATTCAAAATTCTTGTTAACTTTTATAAAAGATATATACAAGGCAATGCTTATTTGCTTGAATGAACTATCATTTATAAAAAATCCAACCCTGATGGGTACCCTAGATGTTCTTCGAAGATTATAGGAATTTCGTTCCGTGCGCTCTAAAAAAATTAAAAATCGAAAAGTTGACCCTCTTGAGGATATTTTATCAATTAATTGTTCCTTGAGATGTGTTTCCATGAGATTATCCTTCTCAAAGAATAATAATTATTCATTCACTAGAAGGATTATTGCAGATTATTAATTGTTACTTCTCTCTCAAATTAATTGTTCATTTTAGATGTTTATTTGACTACATTATATCAGAAGGTAACCTTCTTGAGGTTCTTGAGATATATATTATATATGTCATTAAGGATCACTGATCAGTATTGTATATTGATGACTATAATTACCCTCTTAATAGAATCACCCTCTTAATAGATTTTCCCTCTTAAGGATTATCAATTCATCAGCAATAATCTCGGCAATAATAATTACTGGAATTAATACTATTGATGTGAATTATTATTTCTGTAAATGAATTGTGATTTTGAGTGAAACAATTTCAAGAATTGATAAGGGGATGAGACATGAATAAATATTGATAAAGATAATTCATGAATTATTGTCACCAGTGGTTTTTCCATCTCCTTAAGATTCCAGTTGAGGTTTAATTTATGTTGTAAAAACAGTTCATTTTCCTTGGAGATGTTACTGTGTTGTTTGAAAATTTGGTGAAAATCTTATTGTTTGTGAAGTGTTCACACCTGCAATGGATTTCCAAGTGCTAGAAGTTGATTGAAAAGATATACAATTATCATGTTAGAACAATTTTTCCTCACCCTGCAAAGACTCTTGTTGAATCAGTCCTAAACTCTTATCATTACAAAACATAAATTCAGATATTTTCTGCCTGTTATTACCTGCAAGTGTGGATACATGAAGGTAGTGACAGTTTCATCTTCTTGACTGAGGTAATCAGACCTCATCACAGAAGGAGGCCCTTTCCTAGATGGAGGCACAGACAGCTGGCTCTCAGCTTTAGACATAGGGCGGCCTATATGACTCATTGCACTAAAAAAATCAAGAAAATCTGTTTTTCACCCTCTAAATTGAGATATATAAGGCTCCCTTTTGTTTAATATTATTGAGAAACCATGTAGTATTATTTCTGGAAATGATCATACTATACCTGTGATCAATGACATCATGGTGATGATGATGATGGTGCACAAAATCGGCAACACTGTTTCTTCTGGGGTCTCTCAGATGTTGCTGGTGCACCTCATGGTAGGACCTTCCATAATCAGAGTTGAGCAGGTTGGCTTCTGATATGCTCTTATTTCTGGCCCATTGACTAGAAGGCCTGATGCCTTCTTGATGCATAGCAGCCAGAGGCACACCTGGACTGCCCTGTCGAAAATGACAAGAATTTTCATGAAGTTTATTGAGTATGAAGTGGTGTAAATGCATCGAAGTGCATCAACCTACATTTTATAGCAGCTGTTCACAAATTTCAAGTATACAAATCATATCTTTCTAGCTTTGATTACATTCGGAGATACATTTGCTTCCTCCATTATCGAATTTCGACTAGGTACATCAAATTTCATGGTGAAACCAGAAATACAACAGATATTTTTCATTATTTTGTAATTTTCACTGAAAATTTCAATTTTGTTTACATACATCAGCTGTTATTGACAGATCAGGTTATGTTACCTCTTCTTCTACTTTTATCTCCGATGACAGTAACGGCCATAAGCTCTTGAGCATATAGCATATAGTTTCACTGTTCTACACCAGCAAGAGCAAATCAGCAAATTCATGAATTGAGAAGAATTATAATTCACATTTCGATGTTAGTTTCGTGTTCGGTTGTTGCACAGCCGTCTGATAGTTGAAGACGGCTGTGGTTGTTGTCTTTATTATTTATTTTATGCTTGATGTCACAGCCGTCTTCAACTGATGTCGTTCATTTTGCATGTGCATGTGATCATGTGAGTTCGTTCTCTTTAGGTGGGCATTGCTTTTCATCAGTTTTTATTTAAGAAGTTGGTATATTCAGGAAAGTATACCTATGAAAATCTCTTTGTTAATTTTTTCAATTCGTTTCAATAAGGCAAAAGTGCTTTTGATTCTCTTTTAGGTGAAAATATATTAACTTTATAACTCATCGATACGTTGTATAATTATAGTCACATATTTTCTTCAGGTTGCATCTTCCAGTGCCTGAAATCCTATAGGCACCTAATTATCATTAAAACGTATATATTTGCTGTTACCAATAGGTACCTTTTGTAGCAGGTTGAATGAACACATATTTATGTAGGTACTGATATGATAATAAATGATTTTTGTGAAATTATACATGTGATTTTATGATTGAAATGACTCCTTTTATTTCCCGTATTAGGTACAATATTAGAAATTCAGTGCGAGTATTTCCCAAAAATGCAAAATATAATACGAATATAGGTAGGTACACGATGTCCTTTCAAAATTACAAAATTTGTGCGACTGACGTCGTCAGATTGAGAAACATCCTGTACTTTTAATAGGAGCACGAATAATAGCTGGTGGATGGTAAAAGCACGTGTAATGAGCCGTGTAAATACCGCTAAATGCCCAAACGCTAACAAAGGCTGTGAAAGGAGAAGATAAAATGATAATCGAAAAGTGCCCTACCCCTTGTTGATACATATTCTGCATCCTGAAATCCGGGTCTGATCGGTATTTCCGGTTGCTCTTGTACTGATTGGACGTCTCATTGTCTGAGCTGTCATATCCGCTGCTGCAGTCTCTTGGACCTCGGCTACCAGGTTTCAGAACCCTAAAAAAAATTCTGTGATCAACAAAAAGTATGCATTGAAAAGGAATATTCTCTCAGATATAATCATGAACATAAAAAATGGATATAATTTAAAGAAATACATTGATGAGAATTCGCATTATCTATGTGATGAAAATATCAATTCTTTCTCGGTTTATTCAACAGAAAACAACTACTTTCCTGGCAATATGCCAAAAAAAAGTGCAACTGATAAAACTCGGTTCTATTATCATAAATTGTTGATTTAAGTAAATAGTTTGTGCATCTCTAAAAGATATTCAGATAAAAAAGTTCGTGATTTATTTCTTTGCCAAGAAGTTATGTTTCTTTATTATTGCTGATGATTATTCAAGTTTTATGAAGTGAAAACTTCTTTGGGTGCGATCGGCACTTTTTTGGGTGTAGAAAAAACATTGGATTTCGCATCAGCGTCACGTCACTGTTGGTTTGTTCAGCTTTCACGCCGAAACTACCCAAACAATTATAGTGAAACTTTGTATATTTATTTTGAGATGTATCAGAAAGAACATAGGATACTTTTTATCAAAAAACTCAAGATTACGGTACCAATATGGCAGACGAGTTATGCAATTATGGTCCGATTCTGTTATGAATTTGTATTGTATATGGGTTTTCGAGGTCGAAGATTATGAATCATTCGTCAAAATTGTGAGATTCAAGCGCAATAAAAATGGGAAGAAAAATAATAATCTAAAAGCTCGACGATACAATAATTCATAAGTTATATAAGACTGCCCACGCCCTTGTTTATATGTAATTGACTTTTGTACAAAATTAACTGAAATATATCCTGATGTTCTTCGGCCTATAAGTACCTTCATATATACGAGAAGTCACAATAAGAGTATATAAGCGAGAGAGGTTAACGTATATCGAAATATTAACAGCTAGAATTTAACAGTTCATAAATCATAAATCCATCTTCGGTAAATATAATATCATTCTCATCTGTCATGCCACACTAGGTATTATAAATCCTAGAGGAATGGAGGATCATTAAATATGATCGTATATCTTCTGCATGAGATATGTAAGTAATACCTATATATACATATAATTCATAAAATTTGATTTCGTAGATCGTACTTCATTGGGATATTTTGTCGTATTTTTGCCGATTTTTTTCTGCCTGTCTTCATAATGGACCTTTTGATTTACTTACCTATCAAAGGATTATTATTCTTACCTGCTGTGTGGTCTATTTGATGTCTTCCTATTGAAATGTTGGGGCGTACCAGATCGATGTGAACCGTTGTGGTTTGGCGGGAAAACTCTGGGTAGTCCAAACTTCAAATAAGTGTACATATTGGACCCGAGAGCAGACCTTAAAAATAATCAATCTCAATATCTCGTCTTGAAAAATATCTTTGGCAGGCTTATTTGAGGCAATTCTGAGGAATGTATCGCAATCTTCAAATTAGTTGTGAATCATCATAATGCTATTTTCTCTTGAATCATTCAACTTTTCTGTTGACACAACGGTGTTACGTTAGAAGTTATTGCTGTTTTTTTCTCCACACTGTATATTATCTGTACAAGGTGGCCATTCGAAAACTAAACAGGCATTGTAGGTTTGTTAAAACCATATTATTAAAAACTGAAACATGTCATCTGAATTTTCGAGGGGAACAGCGTTGTGGCGTTGCCAATTCTACCGAAAAGTAGCAATAACTTTGTTATTTCAAATGGGAAACCCTGTATTTGATTGCATTTTTTAGATTTTATCAATATTCCATACTTGGAGTCTAGGGGGAATGATTACAGATTACCGATAGGGTGTTCAAAATCGAGATTTTTCAACTTGAGTATTTTTTTGTGTCGAAACTATTTAGTATTGGTCAAAACGGCTCACATGTTCCTATCTTAACTTTTGATTTACTATCTACTGATATTTAATTGAAACAAATACAGGGTGGTTCAAGATTCAGAATTCTGTATCTGTTCCAATTAAATGTCAGTAGCTGTAGTATCGAAATTTGAGATAAGAAAATGAAAGCCATTTTGACCAATGATTAGTGGTTTCGACACAAAAATCCTGGAGTTGAAAAATCACGATATTGAACAGGACCCAATACAGGGAGGCATTGAAATAAGAGCAGATATTTCTAATTCAAAGTGGCGTACTTGATTTTGTCTCGTATTTTGTTAAATTTTTGGGATGAAATTTCTCGTTAATCAGGAGAATTATAGAAAGAATCTGATATCGTGGGAATATTCCTCAGACTGTATCATAATTATCAATGTGCTGAACGGTGCTAAATATGTGCTAATTTCAAAACACCTGCTTGTATATCACTGTTATCATTTCCGTGCTGAGCCTCAAGTGTGATAAACTGATGAAATCAGCTCTTCAGGGAGTATTTAGAAATGCAGTGAAACACAGGATATTCTATTCGAAATATCAATGTTTTTGTTACTTTTAGATGAAAGCAGCACGCCACAGCGCTGAAAAAATGTTAGAACGATGTTTTTTCATAATCCGGTTCTGGCGACCTACAAAACCTCTGTTTATTTTTCAAATGACCACCCAGTATATAGTAGGTAGGTACTCACTTGGGTCCATAACGGGGATGTGATAATATTGACTGTACGGTGGTGTCTCTCAGCTGGAAATTACCATAAGGTAGTGGGCTTTTGTCTGTCGACCCTAGAGCACTGTCGGTGAAATCCGAATTCAGATTTTGCCTGAAGAAAAACCGATACATTTTCACGTCAAAATTCAAATGTCAGATACAGAGGAACCCCTCGTAGATTTTTTATTTGTGGACCGATTTTGACGATTATTTTTAGTAAGCGGTGTTCACTTTTCAAGGCCTACTAGATCACATTCAGAGGCTGAAAAATCCCGAATTCATGTTAGCGATTTTTCAGAAAAAAATCCGTATACACCACTCGAATCGGAATTATCTGAAATGAAGCTGTACCGAGTTGTACCGAGTGAAAAAATATTCAACATTAACGATTCTATTACTGAATAACTGACTAGTTATTTATCATGCATTGTGAAAATGTTTATGTTGAAATATCCATGATATATGTAGTATAGGCTTTGCAATATTACTGAAGTCTCATCAGATGACCGCAAATTAATGCAATTTTCACCTATATCCCCCCGAATCCTCCAAGGGAGTTTATTGATAAAAAGTTGAGAAAATCCAGAGTCTGATGTCATCACAGGTATATTGAATTCAATATCATGCCTTTATAAGATTTTTTTTATTTTCTGGTTCCCACGAAAAAGGATATCCTGTAATGTTCAGAGAACATCGTGAGAACCAAGGGAAATGAGGTATAGGAATTGGTGTTCCTCTTGAATTTCTGAAGGTTATATGCCTTGAGGAACACCTCCCTTGGGAATGTGTTCCAGAGCCTCGCTGTTCGTTGGATGAACGAGTCTTTGGAACGAGATGTTCTGCAGGTCTTCAAAGTGACCACGAAGGGGTGCGAAGCCTCAACTCGACGGGTTAATCTCGCGGGGACTGCCAAGGGAGGAACAATTTTTGATATTTCAGGAGAGCATCGTCAATGAAAATATCTATAGAATAGAGCCAGATTGCCAACTTTTCTACGGTGTTCCAGAGAAAAGAGTGAGTTTGTGAGCGAGGCATCACCCACGAGACGAACTGCCCTTTTTTGAACAGAATCCAACAGTTTCAGGGTATGTTTGGGTACTGCACTCTAAATATAGGAACAGTATGCCAGGACAGGTCGGAACTGTACCTTATAGATCATAAGCAGCTGACTGGAAGTGAAATAGCTCCTGGCCCGAAACAGAAAACCAAGTTTTCGGGACGCACTTTTACCAGTTGATCCCACGTGATTTCCCCAAGAAAGGTTATTGCTGATAGTAATACCAAGCATCGAAATGGATGTCTTCAAAGGTATGCTTACTCCTGACCAGCTTATGTTGGGCACAGTGAAATCGGCTTTTCTAGAGAAAAGGCATGCTTGTGTTTTGTTTGGATTGAAATCTATCAGATGTTGTTATCAAATAAAGTCGCGTTATTCCTTTGTTATCGCATGAGTTACTACATGAAAAGTTTCTTATGATAAATAACTTTCCAGTAATTTCATGCAATTGTTGATATTGAATATTTTTTTGATAAAGATTTCCAAATTGAAAAAAAAGTTTATCAAAATCGCTTCATAAATAAAAGATTCATGAGGGTGGATCGCTTTCAATTGGGTCACTCTGTAGATTCTAGTGTCGGAAACTCACCGGTAGATGGACCATGCGTGAAGATCTTCACTCGTTGTGCCACCAGAAAAAGCCCTGGAATCCGGATTGGAAGGGACAGAATATTTTCTTTCCATTTCGAAGCCTTGAGACCCACCCCCTTGAGAGGGGGTGCGACTACGCACCATCTTCACGAAATCTTCGTTCTACAAACTAAAAAAAAAACAATAGTTTTCGCATCACCATCTTCGACTGGCAGTTCAAGTTTTTATGATTTGTGTTCGTCAATTTATCAGGTTGTGTTGCGTACATGTGAAAATTTTGATGTTAATAAGAAGTGTCAAGTTCGGCTCCTTCCATATATATATATCTGTCATGGTATCATGTGATTTGAGTTATTTTCTTGGGATATGTAACCATATGGTAACAATATGTAAACTCATAGAAGATATAATTATCAACATAGAACTACTGTAAAAAAAATGCCAATACCGACCTCCTGCCATTTGGCTATGGCTGGTTCGTCATGACTCTCCCTGTATCTACAGTGTGTCCACCTTAAGGACTTATACTACCCCTTTGAAATCGTTATTATAAGACCAATTTCAAAAAACCTTTTTTTGTTGGATATGTATTTGAAATGCCCATCCAACGAGAGAGTGATCTAATTCTTGGACTGTTATCGTGGCCAACTGCGACAAATTTCAATGACCGATATTCCAGAAAGTACTATTAGGGATTTTTTTTCCGAAAAAACGAATCATCATTTTCTTCAAATAGGTGATCAGCAAATGTAATTCTGTGGTTTTTCTAGAAAGAAATAATCACAAATTATCATTGAGGATTATTTCAAATATACCTGTACCAATTTTCGTCATTTGAATACACAATGTGTCTGAGAAAAAAATTAAAAAGGATAGGTAAGCAATATTTTTCATCCTGATAATTCTTCACTCAAAATAAAAAGATGAATCAGGATCACTGGGACATACCTGTACCGATTTTCATCATCATTAAACACAGGATGTTCGAAAAATCAAATTAATTTTTTTTTGTTGTCGAAAAAATATTGCCTACTTTTTCTTTTTGATTGTTTTCTCATACACATCGTATTTTTGAATGATGAAAATCGGTACAGATATGTTCAAAGTGATCCTCAATAATAACGTGTCATCAATTCCTTTCGAAAATACCAAAATACTACATTTTCTGATCACCTATTGAAAAAAACATAATTCGTTTTTTCGGACGCCCTGTGTTTTATGAAGATAAAAATCAGTAGGTGTTTTTCAAGTGATCGTGATTCAGAATCCATCATTTATTTTGTGAAAAAAATCCCTAATAGTACTTTCTCAAATATGGGTCAATAAAGTTGGTCGGAGTTGGCCACGATTACAGTTCATGAGTAAAATCACTCTCTTGTTGGATGTACATTTCAAATACCTATCCAACAAAAAAAAAAGGTTTTCGAAATCGGTCAGATAATAACAATTTTACAGGGGTGGTAAGTCTTTAAGGTGGACACACTGTATATACCAAGCTATGAAAAGCTTGGTGAAAGTACAACTGAATAATTGAGAAACAAATTATTATTTCAAGATAAAAACGAGGTCTCGAGTATACGATTCTAAGGTACATTCTTCATTTTGAATTCTGAAGGTGGGATAATCCGGGATTACGTTTTTAACGTTGAACACGAGAAGCTCCGCCAAATCGTATGTCCTGCTGAAAGAATTCAGTGCAAAATAAAAGAGAATAGAGTTGAAAAGAGGAAAAACGAAAAAAACAACACACCAGTTCAGATGGGCAAGTCAGTAACCTCTTTCAAGGTTTCGCTTTACTTACTATCGAATAAGAATGCGTAACTTTTACAGAAAGAGTACCTACGTGCGTTCATATACAGGAAGTTCACGATCTCAGATATTTAACAAAAAATTACTGCTGAAAAAATTGTGTACATATACATTATCTGAAATAAAAATATTCATATCGAGTTATTTTCATTGGTCAATCAATAGAACCCCCATTTGCCCTGAAAGCTTAAAATTCCATGTATATCCTGAAATCTAATTCATCAAACAACTGCACAATACGATTATTATTATTAATATTATTATATATTAGTATTATTGACAGTTTATATGAATTCAAAACTCATTATTATCATTATTTTTTTTGTATTTTTCTTATTATTAATGTTTTCTTTCTCTTCTTATTCTAAATTTCTTTTTTATTTATATTCAGATAGATTTATTCGAATCAGCTGCTGTTATTCATGCATCTACTTGAATTGGAGAATGGACTTATATCACAAAAAAAAATTACTTCATAATTCGATAGAACTCACCCAAACTAGCTCACCACCGCAAACCGTTTCTTGCTGTGAGCTCCCTACGTTTTATTAAAAATTATTGAAATCCCCGATTTTTCAGACCTCTGAAAAAGAGGCGATGATGTGACGTCAAAACCCTAATACTGAAACAAGACTATTCCAGACAGAGATGAATGATACATGATTTCTGACAGAGTGAATTAGCGTGAGATCACAGTTGAAAGAATTAATATATCAGTTGTCTCAGTCTCCCTCGGGCGTTTGGTATTTTCTTTCAACTATGGCGACATGAGATTTCTACGTCATAAGAGGGAACGTTTTCAGAAGGTACTATATTATTTATGTCCAAAAATAAAACATTCCAGTTAATTTTTCGATCGAATTATGTCGTCAATCATGATTTATGTATAAAAGGATCATTATATACATGGTTTGAGTTAAAGGTTCTACTAAGGTGTACACGCCCCTTTTGCTCTATAGGTCATAGATGGTGACACTATTATTCTGCTATTTACAATGTAACATTTCTCAGACCTGCATCAATAAAAGCAATATTGTTATTATCATTATTATTATTATTTTCGTTAATAGACAAGTCAGCTCCTTCACCAAAATTTGAACTCATGCGCATACGTATAAGTGTCTGTATTATAATCAGATATTCGTCATCTTTCAATTGGAAACCATATAGTTTCTTCCATAATATTATGTATGAAGGCAAGTTTTGGCTTTGACTGAATACAGATGAAAGTGATAAGATAACGACTATATAAGAACTAATTGCTATAGTCATTAAGTCGCAATAATAATCATTATAAAATGTTTCTACTAGCCAATAATGAGAAGACTAGCCACCTTGAGGTAATAGAAGAAAGCCAAATGAATGTTCTGTCATTATCTGGTGAAACAGATCACTCAATTCCAAGACCGTAAAACTTATCATTAACGTCATCACTTCGGTTTTCATCTCAATTGATTGTTGATTATTTGGTGTCTATTGTAGTTAGAAAGTTGTGGAAAAACGATACTCTAAATCATCTTTGATAGCCAATTACTGTCATGTGTCACAATCACAAATTATCATACAGTTTTGCTTTCTCCATGAGCTACAATGCCCATATATTATAATTAGACGAAAATGAGTTTATTCGTTTTTCATGGAAAATAGATTTATGGGTCTGTGCGATAGAACTCGGCGACATGCTTTTTTTATATATCAATGTTTTAGTTTCTCAATCGATCTATCCCTCATACAGATAAAGTTTTGGTTTTTTAATTTTTAGAAACGACGAATGAAAACCTAGAAAATCTACAGTCATCCAACGTATTTCCTGATCATAATCACAAGTTGAGAGACTTTCCATTAACTAGACAAATATTAATGTAAAAACTTCACAAACTATAAGATTTCCACAAAATTCTCAGACACACAACATGTTTCGATAACACAGTAGCTTCGTCAGGTGATATACTGGTACAATGAACTAAACCAACCTTGGCTTGCTTAACTTCTATTTATCCTTTTTCCCAACTTGAAGGATTTATTTCCTGTGGACAGGTTCTATAAACCTTAATTTTCGGAAATTAGGCACAACATCTACAATAAAATACGGTGTACCGAATTAACTTGAATAAAACTTTTGAGTTTGTTAATTTCTAATGATTCCAAATGATTGAGTATCATTCCTCCATTTTCTTCGTGTGAAATTTCGAATTATCATCAAAACTATGGTTTTCTTCTAATATATGGTTGGCGTATGTTAATTTCTAATGATTCAAAATGATTGAGTATAATTCCTCCATTTTCTTCGTGTAGAATTTCGAATTTTTTTTTTGTTTTTTGTTTTTGTATGTCGCTACTTCAAAGTTGGGAACCAACTCCCCAGAAGTCGAAACTTGTGCGGGGTTAGGAAGAGCGGGACCTACAGCTTATAGTGGAATCCGAACCACTTCGAATTATCATCAAAACTATGGTTTTCTTTTAATATATGGTTGGCGTATGTTGAATTTGTTTTCTTTTTCAAAAAATTCATCTTATGTTCATGAATGCGTTGATTAAACGTACGACATGTCTGACCGATGTATACCTTAGGACAAGATCCCCAGTTGAGTTTGATTTTTCGAATTAATTATATTATCACGGTATCCATGACTCAAATACGACTATGATTAGAGAATACTCAGGTGTATATAATAGAAGACAACGCCAAGTGCAAAGTGCAAACTTTTCGTAGCCTTCAGCTCTACGCTAGATCTAGTCGACAGGGTTCACAGGAGTTTAAAGACATTGTCATGCAAATTTTGTACCGTTCTGTTCTCGAGAAAACGCGAAACAATGGGCCAACAGCCATATTTGCAAACTTTTCCGATTAATTTGATTGTGCCCCCGATTAATTCAATCCACAGCGCTATTTTTGGTCGTTTCAGGTGTAGAGCACTTTGGATTATGCTTCTCACGAGATGTTCTGATTATAGGTATGCACCTTAAGGCGTTATGACCTCGAAAAGAAATGACTGTAGGTATGTCTTCGTGGTATTTTTCTCACGAAATTATCTCCCAAAATACATCTCGAAGACCATTCAATCCTAGAAGAAAACTCTCAATATCAGAGCTATATCATATCAAATCAAAACGTAATTACATGGTCGAACTCGAGATAGTAATATCATGTGAGAAAATTCTTATGATAATCTTGAAAAAAACAATGTGCTTGTGAATCAGTGAAATAGCTTTACTGTTTCTGTGAGAGTACCTATGAGATATCCGGGTCTGAGTCAATTTTTTTATGACCTTCCTTTATAGCTATGACCATTATATTTTGTAACAGTTTACATGAAACATGAGGAAGCTATTCTTATTGTAGTGCAAACTGCAAGCCAC